TGTATACATGGATACGTGTATATATATAACTTCAATGGGTAACCTATAGCTTACGCAACGCGGCGTAATTACGTTTTTTTTTTTTTTTTTTTTTTTTTTTTATTGTAAGTGTATATATATTTTCGCTCGTCTCCTTGATTCCGCGTTAATTCAGTACGACTATTGACTCCTCTTTCAGGGATTTTTTGCGGTTGCGATTACATTTTATGTGTTGTAGATTTTTTTTTTTTTTTTTTTTTTTTTCCATCACTAAATCCATCCAAAAGTGTCGTCTTGCTCAACCTCCGCTCATTTGAGGCAAAGTGTTTCGCAAAGACGTGCAACTCTACCCTCCCCCTACACTAGTCCTTTTAATAATGCAGACCCGCCCGCTATACGAGCCATGCACTTGCCCATCGATCTTCTCTTTGAAAATAGACGCGGCGCTATGTAATATCAGGTACACCCAAACGATCCCAACTGCAGCCCAGAGTTGAATCTCGAAAAGTTACACACGACTGCTTACACGATGCAATCATAAGTAGAGAGAGAGAGAAGCAGAAACGAGTTGAGGCTTCCCTAATAAGTTTTTTTTTCTTTTTTTTTTTTTTTTTTTACGTAATCGGTAACTATTGCTTTGGCCTGTACACGCGATCGATGGGACCCTAATGACTTTGGTAAAGTCAAGCATAACAGCATATCAAAGTGTGTTATGTACCTACGTGTATATGTCATAGGTATAGGTATAGGTTTACCTCGTTCACCTTTCGCTCTTACAATCGAAGCTTTGTCTCATTGGCTCGTGTGATGTAATAATAGGTACGTATATATACTTACATACATAGAAGTAATGTCAAAGTTGAACGGTTCGCGATGAGCTCCGTGTAAAGGGCGCGTTGCATATTACAAGTGCCTATATACCCACAGTTTGGATTGTAAAAATAAACGGACGATTTATTTCACTGCCACGCAAATCGTTAGAATCTGTATTTCGTGGTGGGTTACGCAATTCATTTTAAAACTTCACGGATTATCGTACGAGTCACGCTTACCGATAGCCTTCATTAAAAGTACAAGCAACATACGACCGGTAAAAATTATAGCAACAACAAAACCGGAAAGCAATTCCGTCGCATAACAGTATATCCTTCGCTGCTCGGGTATATGTACTTGAATCCGCACAATTTTTTTTCTCCAATTATGAACAACCCATAGGAGAGATATCTATTGTTTCTCGATTCTCACATGTATATATACGCTCCTGTTGATAAGAAATCGCACGCACGTATATTACATGCATTATTAGGCGCGCCCTTGACGAGATCACTGCCCTCCTCTCTTCGTTCCTTGTACGAGTCGATTTTTTTTTATTTTTTTTTTTTTTTATCATTTTCCCTTTTAACGATTGTCGAGGGATCCTCTCGAGAGCTTATATCTCTTCCTTTTAATGAGCTATACTGTGACAGAGGACCACTTTTTATGTCCTGATAGTTGTGAAACCCTCTGGCATCGGGTTAGGCAGTGAAAAAGGGAAAAGCCTCCAAAGTAATTTTCAGCTTATTCGTAAGATATTATGTACATTCGAAAGCCTTGGGTAAACGATACTTTTACTTATATACGTATGAGTATAAATATAGTAACACGATGAGATGGCATATAATGAAAAGGACGAGCGCGTCTAAAGTAATAAATAAAATCATAGTAAATTGTTTGTTCGCTTGATGAAAAATCTCTCAAACGAAGCCCTGACATGTAATGTATATAATACTAACTTGAAATCGGCAAAAAGCGGCCCGAAGAGGCGTCAGCACGGACAAAACCGCATACTGGACGGCAACCGGGACATCAGCCATTCCTCGCAAACACCGTCTGCCGCTGCTGCACCAAACAGCAGCCGCGCAGCCTGTGCCGCCAACCTGGACGGTGATACCGATCAGCAAGAGGAGGAGGAGGAGGAGGAGGAGGATCCTTACGTGTACGACGAGGAGATACCGCGTACCGAGGCGGAGATCCACCGCGCCTCTGGCCTACTGCAGCTGTCGTTGTCCTCGAGCAGCCAATCCTCCGACGCGACCACGTCGACATGGACCTGCCGGTCTTGCGGCGCCAACACCGGCCCCGGCACGCCGATCTTTGTGCTCAGCTCGCCCGGCAACACGCCCTGTATACTATATACACAATATTATCATCACACGTGTCAAGCTTTAATGACATTAAAAACAGAGCACCTGTTTTATACGTCTTTTATTTTTCTTGTTGGTTTGTTTTTTTGTTGTTGTCATTCAGAAATCCGATTCCCGATCGTTTTATTTACTCATTTACTCTCTCTCGGAGCACGACACAATGATTCACGGGGCAATTAAGGGCGCCTCGGGCTGAAAGACGCATGAATCGAGGGAAACCGGGCACGAAGAGGCGGTATCGGGACTCGGATTTCGATGTGTGCCGATTTTGCTTGTAGATTGTTTTGTGCAGGTTTATCCATACCTATACACTTTACTAGCGGTAGAGCTGCATTCGCTGTTGGAAGAGTTTTTTTTATTTTTTTCAATTTACTTATGCCACACCACGCCTGTAACGCGCACACAGGCGAGCGAGTGCCTTACATATACTTACAATCTTTTTTTCTGAAATGTGCAAACGCTCTCTCGGGTTCATTGAATTTTTCTAAAGTATATATAGGTATAATGGTGCAAGAATCGTCGGAGGAGAATTTTGATGTGAGCGCTGATTTTTGTTTGACCAAGGACTTGTGCGAGATGTATGTTTTTAATATTTTATGTATGTATGTTTGTAACTGCTGCTTGTCAACAATAACCTATTGTCTCAGGATTTAAGTTTTTTTTTTTTTTTTTTTTTCCAATCTTAACAGGTGAAGTTTCTCTGTTGTTGAAAAATTCTTCACTCTGTGTGCACTACGTGTTTCTCTATACTATATGGTTGTGTATCTATCGTCGAAGATTCTGCACGCGTGTACCGATTTACAAGCATTTCATCGAAAAAACAAAATAGCTAGTCCGGCAAAATCAAAAGCGACGCGCAATTTTTCCCACGCACCCGCTATAGCCCATTTGAAATTGGAGCACACCAGACCATTTGAGGTATTGTTCTAGTTTTCCCCAAGACTTTTTCGGAGTAAGTACATCGAAGTTGAAGGATGGGGGAGCAAAAAAACTGTCCAGCCAACTAAGAGAAGAGCTAAGTGTACAGAATATAAAAGCCGAGCGTAAGTATAGAAAACGAGATCGTTTCTCGTGAGTCACGCGCTCGTGGTATATATAGGGGCGACGGCGAAACGAGACGAGAGATGCCTTTTCTCATTGCCGAGGTCGCGTCTCTCTCTCTCTCTTTGCGCACACGTACGTATATACATATAGACATGTTGTACCGGATCCAGCAGCTTATAGTACAGATGACTTAGGATCGCCCGGAAAAGTCGATGTGAGGCCTCGCGCGCGGATGGAATTCTTTCCACTCTCATTAGTTTCCCTTTTGGCGAGCAACATCTCTCTCTCTCTCTCTCTCTCTCTCTCTCTCTCTTTTTTTGTTCTCACGCGCGCGCTCGTCTTTCCCATTCTTCGCTGCACGCACGCCCGATAAAGAGAGAGAGCTATGTTAATTTTCCACACGCGCACGCGGGTGTGCTTTTTGCTGCACCGGAAACCTTGTGATTTTGCGTTTTACAGGTGAGAGATGAGACTGAATGGGACGTGCTTCTTTACTTTTTTTTTTTTTTTTTTTTCTTTGCCGATGGAATTTCTGTTTTCTTTTCTTCTTCCCGCTCGTGCATGGCACGCTTGTTTTGGCATCTTGACCATTGTTTTTTTTTCTCGCGATCCAGAAAAATTTGTTGTCAATTGATTGACACTGGACCACTTGCTCAAACTTGGATCTCGCAAAGCTTGCACTTGTGAAACTTTGATGGAATTTTTCGTCTGTAACTACAGTCCGCGTGTGTGACCTTCGACTCGAAGGGAACGAGAACGTTGATTCTTCAAAAGTGCCAATCTATGTGTATGCACAAAGGGTGGAACTTTGCGGGAATATATGAAAGCGCACGGACAATAGGAGATGTAACAAAAAGGAAGCCGTGGCTGCGTTATCGTTTTAAAAATAGATGCAAATCGATGCAACCCTGTGGTCAAAAAAATACGTGCCACCCTCTTGTGAGTGACCCATAAAATGATATAAGTTACGATTCCTCTTCGTTGTAAGTACTATTAGAAGCGAATCTTTTGATTTTATTGCTCACAAATGTATAGAGCTGTGCTTTTTGGGTATAAATACACGTATGTTTGCTGTATTATGTAAACAAAAGATGATTATCATGAAGCCAGTGTTTGGTTGTCAACTGCAATTTGGGTTCTGGTGCATTTTCTGGCCTCGATTGCGATGCCGAAAAAAAATAAAACCAAGTACCGGTGCTTTTATACCTTGTACGTGTCGAAATATCCCGTGCACGCGCGTGTATGCACGTATGCGTGCAACAGAGCCGTATGGGTCTGAATCGACTGACCCCAAAAACGCGACTCTCCTCGTTTATATTCTGATTATAGTATACTGCGGTAAAATTACAAATCACTAGGTAGTTTTTTTTTTTTTTTTTTTTTTCTCTTATGAACTACATACAATGTCGTTTCTCGTGCACTAGAAATCATATTTTTCTTTATCGTTTGAACAACAGTAATGCAATAATAATAATAATGCATCGCTTTGGCGAGACATACAAGTTGATCCGAAATCTACGAGAACATACAAGTACGGCACGATTATTGTATACGACCAACACGTTTATAATTCACAGATTTGTATGCACACCACCTTTGTACCACTATACTATATATAAATATGCTCTATACTTTTTTCAGTTGTTGTTGCTACTGCTTCGAAGCTTAAAAAAAAAAAAAGGACGTATTTGTACACACAAAAGAGAGGATTTAAAAGAAACACATGCAAATGAATTGAAATCGAAAATTCCAAGTTTTGTCGAGATACTCGAACAAAGTTTTCATCTGTTTCAGTTCTATGCAGCGACCGCGTGAGCCAAATGACCAAGACTTATAATGATATCGAGGCAGTGACAAGGCTTCTGGAGGAGGTGAGAAACGAACGAACGAAAACTCTCGTGCGCCTTCATTATACAATTTGTTTTTTTTGTTTTTCTCTTTTCTCGGGCAGAAAGAAAAGGACTTGGAATTGACGGCGCGAATCGGCAAGGAACTCCTCTCGCACAACCAAAAGCTCGAGACGACGGTGCAGGAGCTCGAGAACGAGCTGAAGAACGCCAACGAGAAGATAACCCAGTTGTCGTATGAGGTGGGAAAAAAGACCGAGCTGATACAGGTGCTGACCAACGATGTCGAGGAATCGGGGGAGTCGGAGGCCGGGACGCCTACGGGCCTCCGGTGCATCAACCTCGAGGTCATGCAGCGCAAGATAAGCGGCCTCGAGGACGAGAACAAGCAGCTGAGGAACGAGTTCACCAAACTCGTACACGAGACCGATGATTGCGAGGAGCAGGAGGCCCGATTACTCAAGGACGTTGCCAACCAGCTAGGTATTATTATTATTATTATTATTATTATTATTATTATTATTATTATTTCCATCATTATTATACGACGTACTTCCCTGCTCTATGAGCGGATACTCTCCAGCACGGTCCGTCGACACGTGTTTCGTCATTTTTTTTTTTTATACATATACTCAACTGGCAATCGAGAGATCCTTTTCCTCTGTGATTCAATGCAATTGACTTTAAACAGCCAACGCTAACATGGAGGTGGACGGCATAGCCCTGGAGCTCGAGAGGCAAAAGGAGGAGAACAGGCTGCAACACGAGCAGATCGTCAACCTCTCGGCGAAGCTTTCGGAAACGGAGTTGAGGTTGGCACAGCTGATGGCGGAGCACGACGAGGTCGGCACCACGCTCGTCATCACGAGGGACAATCAGAACGCTCTGGCCGACGAGCTGGCCAAGTTCAAGGAGCAATACGCCGAGGTGCGCTTGTCGTTTTACAAAATCAGGATTTTATTGGCCCTTTGGCGATGTGTTTATTTTCCTTTTTCCTTTCGCAGGCTCTAAACATGTTGGCAGAAACGCAGGATCAGCTGAAACAACAGCGCAAAAGGTCGATGCCGGTCGCTCGAGGCGGCGCGCTGTTCCCTTCGTTGGTAGCGGCCCCGCAGCCTGACTCTATCGCCATGGAGCTGGAGTGCTCGCTGTACTCGGAATCAAGCTTGGATTCGGGCATCATTGCGGACAGGATGTGAGTGATTGAGCCATTTTTCACATCCACATTGTATGATTGATCCGTATTGACTGTTGGTTCCATAATTTTCAGCCCGCCGTACAAGAAAGCGTTCGAAACGGTGAGGTGCGCTTCGAGATCTTCCGCAAACGCGAGCACCGACGGCCATCAGTTTCCACGGCTGGGCTCGATGACAACATCCACGCTGTCGAGCGGCTCTTTGGGACCGCGTATGAGTACGGTTATGCAGGCTCGTGGCAAACACGTCAACTCGGCGTACCCCAGTCTCGATTCTACCGGTCACAGTGACAGCGAGTCTCTTTTGACCGACATCGAGGAGTACCCGTGAGTATCTCGCACGATGATTATACTACTTTCGATTGAACTTGCATTAACGATCATCTTGTACTTACACGTTTTTTTCCCCCAGTGGTCCCCAACAAGCCGGTATTCCAGGCGCGCCGGGTGCTGCCGATCTCGAGGCTGCGTTGCGGCGTCTGACACCAGCCGAAGTGATGGCACGACGTGCTTGTCTCAGCACGGGTACCGGTTACACCTACGAGTACGACGGAAGTGGTCAGTCGCCTCCAAACTACGTTCCGTTTGGCTGTCGCACACCCGATAGTATTATGTCGACTGGTAGCAGTGGCAATCTCAGTGGCTTCAGTGGAAATAGTTCCGCTAGTTGGCGGCTTCCGGAGAAACTGCAGATTGTCAAGCCTATCGAGGGCTCTCAGACGCTTCATCACTGGTCACAGCTCGCCACGCCTTCCCTAGGCAAGTAGTGTTTTTAATTTTTAATTCATCGGAACATGGGGGATCGATGATTATACTGATTCACGGTTCATTTAATCCCATGTAGGTGGTCTGCTGGAAGACAGACCAGGCATAAGAACTCGCGGAGGTCGAGGGCTCGAGGAACTAGGTCTGCTGACGTTCAGTCTCACGGATGTCGAGGAGGACGAGGAGTACGCGAATCCAGGCAAACTCTTTCAGGACACGGGCTCGGTTTACACTTTCACCAACAGCACTGTCATGCATCCGGACGATCACACGATCCTCACCGGTAGTGCCATCTCAAGCCGCGTCACCAGCCAGCCCAACAGCAATCTTAACTCTGGCGTCAATACTCCACGCACTCTCAGTCGGCGCAACTCTACCTCGACCTTTTCCACAACACTCGGTCTGGCGAAGATGCTCAACGAGCGCGGCATCGTAGCGGTCACGCCCTCGTGCGCTGCCACACCGACCGCTGAGAAGAACTTCTCGCCTACGGTAACACCCTGTAACAGCCCCGATATCAGCCCTTCGCACTCGAGGTCGGGCTCGCCTGTGCCCGGCACATCCTCGATGAGGCACGGTGGACTCACCAGCGGTACTGAGCTGCTGAAACGAACTTTCGGTGGCGAAGCATTTGGGCAAGGTCAGATACCGCAGAGTGGACCGCTGACGCGAAGGTCCCGGCGAGACCGCTTAGAAAGGATCCAGGCGGTCGATGGAGATCCGAGAGTGATGGAGAGACTTGGTACGAGCATGTCGCAGCTGGCGATGCCGGGCGCGCTTTACGCCCGCCGCGAGAGTTCGATGGCTCACCTGACCTTTCTCAAAGGTTCGATATCGTCGGAAAAGCTCGACTCCGAGCTTGACTCGTCCTCGGGCTCAAGCAGCCCAAACGACGACTCGCGCTTCGACGCCTCCTTCGCTACTGGCAGGGACGAGAGGTCGATCGACATTGCCGAGGATTATGTGGCGCGTAGAGCCGCGCAGAGACACAGGCGCAATGGGCCAAGGAGGCCGAGGCCCGATCTAGGCCAGGTGAGGCCGCTCTCGGGTACGGTGCCCGTCACAACGGAGTCTGTCCCGCAGTCGGCGCTAGGCACTATTAGTTCGCTTTTATTTGGTCGCAAGGGTGGCTTATTTTAAACGCAATTAGGGTAACGCGTACGGGATGCATTACCTGATTAGGAGGAATTAATTGTTGATTTTGATTGAAGACAGTCGAACTGACGACTGCTTTGTACACACTCATTTATTTTCAAATGAGCAATATTAATTGACAAATTACTGCCATATTTATGGACTGCGTGTAAGTATTATGTTGGTTACGTAATCTCGACATTATCGTGATAATCACGTGCTTGAGTGAATGAAAAGTTGCATTGAGAAAAATCACTAAAAATTTGTTCACATTTCTTTTTTCTCTAAGGATGCTCTACAAATATTTTCTGTTCATTGTTGAACTGACGTTCCTTATTTATGAATAAAAATAATTGCGAACCAAAAATACTAGATAAATATAACTACTTGGTTCGAATTAATTTTTCTTAATGTGATAATTATGACAAAATCGAATGTAAATTTTTTAATTAGAGCACTTCTACTGCTTTCAATCTTAGCTCCTAATCAGGATGATTCCTGTCTGCTTTTCGTTTACCTCAATACTTCTAGCAGTCTGATAGTTTTGTAACTAAAAGTAAAAAAAAAAAAATAGTCGACAAATTAATTATCGAACAAAAGAAAAAAATCCTTCGTTACGTTCCTCCTCGCGACGTTAATTCGTCGGAGAATCATTTAGAGGGATTATTTACTTTTGAATTGCGTTTTTCCATTGATTAGGGGATTTTATAGACTGTTGATTTTTTTTTTTTTTTTCGGCACGAACAGTATGTTACTGAGATTATTTTCATCTTAATTTTTATTTACGACGTGAAAGCATTTTATGTAATGTAAAATATTATACTGTCATGACGAGTAAGACAGATTTCAAATACACACTAAAGCTTCCAGGAGCGGAAATTGAATTTTTTTTTTTTTTTAATTTAATAAATAAATTCTTTTTTGAATTAATTCCTCAATATCTTAAGTCTACAAGTAAATAAGTAGCGTGTGATACGTTTCCTTATTTACGAGAAAAAAATAAATAATTTCGTAAAAAAGCGCTACAATAATTTTTTTTATAACCACTACACTAAAAATACTTTTAAAAAAACGTTTAGTTTTTTTTTATTGTTGATTAGTTATGTATCTTTAGTAGAGAAAAATAAATTTTTAAATAATGGTACGCATAAAGATTGATATTGTTTACCGTTATACGAAAAAACGATGTAGAAAAAAATTGAAAATACGAGTTTATATTAATAGCTGGATTCAACGAAGAAGAAAGCTATTATTTGAAGGTGGGATATAGTGCTCACCTTCGGCTGAGGCCTTTTATCATGCTGTAAGATATGAGCTAAGATTATTTGAAAATTGCGACGAAGAAAGCGTGTTTGGCAGAACGAAGCGAGTATTTTATAAAAATGGTGCATTAAATGGTAGTTTGAAACGAAAAATAAGAGAGAGATAACAAAGTATTTTCGAAGCAAAACGTGATTTTGTATGTACAGACATTGTAAAGTGGCAATGAACGAGGTAGGTATGTGGGTCCTTTTTAGATTTTTGTGTTTGTACAAAGAAAAACAAAAATCCTTATCTGACACTCTTGTAGTTAGAAAATGAAATCCTCAAAAACAATTACAATTATTACGTATCACTATTTATGTAAGTGGCTAAAAAATATTTTTACTCATGGGTGACATCACATAATTGTTAAAATAGGCATGAACTTATCTCAAATGCAGTAGTTGAGAATTTATAATTTTTCCAAGCGAAACAAAAATTATACTACGCAATAAAAACTGATCGTGTGTGTACTTATAATAAAATTTAGTGCAAATTTTTTTTGTTTTTGATTAACTTATGGATACATTGAGTACTAATATACTATTGTTAGATTAATGACCCTCCAAATATTATATTTACTGAGCCATGAAGTTTTGTAGGTCATAAGAGTTTGAGTTCCAAAACTACTTTTTCTCTTCATTTCATCCTTTACATCGCCTGAAATATAACTATACACGATTCACTACTTTCAAGTCTTTTTGTGATAGACTTATTTCTAACATATGTCTGCAATGCAGTAGATTACTTTAAATACGTCTTATCAAATTCACGATTTTCAAGTCGGTTGAGACTGACTTGTTTCTAACTCATATTTGCAATGCAGTAGATTCTTTTATGTACATTTCGTTAAATTTACAAAATGTAATTCAGGACTTTTAAGTCTTTAGTAACTGACTTGTTTCTAACTCATATTTGCAATGCAGTAGATTCTTTTATGTACATTTCGTTAAATTCACAAAATGTAATTCAGGACTTTCAAGTCTTTAGTAACCGACTTGTTTCTATTGCACATTTGTAATGCAGTAGATTCTTTTAAGTACATTTCATAAAATTTTTTTCTCACAGTCCAAAGTTGTTTTTATCTCCTTGGCCTAAAAAAAAAGAATAAAAACTGCTTCTTTACAAAAACCTTCACGTTTCGTGATCATCATCTCATGTAAGCAACAAACGTTGATATTTTTTCTACTTTAAATAACTTTATGTTGATGGTGCTATCGTAATTGTTACGATTGTAAAAAATTAACTGTTGCCTTTAAATTTTTGGATGGGATATTTTCATCTTCTACCATTGTTTTTCCATTGAGATATATCTCTACAAATTCGCATTATTTGCTTCTTACCTAAATTGTCCTTGCATAAACTACAAAAATTGATTTTGGAAATATTCCCTTATCATACCTTCATTTTTTTGAGAATTTTATCGTTCGATTTATGTATTTCTTCATGCCATTCTTCATCTACTTAAGCATGACTTTTCATAAAAGTCGTAATTACATGTGGATTATGGTCCAATATTTCGATGCTTCTCCCACACTCTCATCAGGGATAATTATGTATAATTTATTGCAAGTACGCACAAAAAGCCGTATGGGTCGCTGATCACTCAGTCACTTACACACTGTGTATTTTATGATAAAAAGTTAAAATAACAAAATTTTACACTAAACAGACAGAACTGAGATTCACAGCAATGTTGACAAAAGAGTCTTCCTCAGTTACAAGTCTGATTATTTACTTTTAATTTTAATTGATCATTTACCATTTTTTAATTTTCTTTCGATGACCACATGTCGATATTAATTTCCAGAGTGTAGTATCATATAGTATCAAATCAATCGTCAATCTGAAAATGAGACCATTTAAATAGAAGATTTAACAATACTTCATTGGTAGAAATAATAAAAAAAAAACAATAACATGGGAGTAGAAAATATTTCTATTGGTTGAAATAATTCACTAGACTGAGGCTGGCCCAGTCTGATCCTCCCTGCTCCATCACTGTTTCTCTTAACGATTAAGGTATTTTTCCCCGTTAAATAAATTTTGCTTTAGCAATTACATTCATCAAATTCGCACTATACTTCGACTTGAGCAGTCTGGTGACTTTTTGCTCAATTTTTTGTTTAATTATAAAATATTGCCCTAATGAAAATTAAATGTCATGAAAATTTCTAAAACAAACCGTGTCTTGGTCATTGTAGGCGTACTCCGCAAAAAAATTACAAAAACAAGAAAATGTTTGCACTAAGTTTTATTCCTTTAGTTCGTATATCTGCAAAATATAGAAAGCTTAATCAATATCGATTTTTTTAGTATTTGTTTTAAAAGGTGTACTCGCTTGGGATTACATAAATAAGAGTATTGCCGTCGGGCGTGTGTTTATTCATGTCACGATTATACAGCAGCGTCAGCTATTGCTGGTCTTTGATCATATAGAAGACTACGTGCAGTTAGCGTCGTCTTGCCGATAAACGGTGATGCGAAATCGTTCACTTGTAAATAATTTTTAAAATGAGAAAAAAATAATATCGATGATAATAATTATATTATGAACAATACAAAAGATAATGTACACCATTGGTTCTTATGAGAAGACAGAGCAGACGTGACGTGTCGGTTGATGTTTCTTATTTTTTTTCGAAGCTGCTGACACACTGCAAAGTTCTGTCCACATATATGATGGACGATAGTATGTACCAGAAATCCTTGTTTAGACCTAACCAAACGCAGTCTTGTACAATAAAAAACATTATAGATCTATGGTATGAGAATAAAATAAGTTAATTGAACAAAAAATATGTGAATGTCTTCTTTTATTTGTTTCCTTGAAGTAATAAAGTGAAAATAATATAGTTTGTTAAAAAAAATGAAAACCAAAATTACAAAGCTGAAAAATTTGAGTTTTTTTTGTTTTTAGAATTCTATCACCAAAACACATTTTAATTTTATAATAATTCTGCTTTAGCTTACTGTGGTTCCCCAATATTATAGTACCAAACTTTTGAGCTATCAATAATTTTTTAGAATATGTAATCCAATTTTTTTCATTTTTAACTTAGTGCTACTTTTTAACTCTCATTTTATTTACTGCAAACCCCTTTTTACTGTAGCTTTACAATTGTCTTTCAACTAAAAGTATATTATATTATATTAATGTAAATAAATATTACACCATCTACAAGAATATACATATACCTTTTAATGCAAAAAAAATCATATTATGTACAAACAATTTGTATTACATAAGTACAACAGTCATTATTCTCTAATATATGCATAAGTGGACATCAAAAAGTCTTTGCTTTGCAATAACAAACGATAAACGCATGTTACAATCAGTATTTCGTAACTTGATAACGAGATTCTCATCCAAACTTGTCACGCGTGCAGCGAATTCGAGAGAAAAGCTGGATATCTGCTGTTGTCAGTCGTTTCAAAAGGAAAAACCTCAAGGCTCGACGACCCACTCTGGCCACTTTTGTATCTGAGCAAATACCAAATCGCCAGGATTGACCGTAGGCCGAACTTGTCGTGCTGCAATGACTTTAACGTCATTTCGCAGATATCCCCGGTTCTTGCCGCATATTATGAGATCGTGCGCCGCCTTCAGAGCCTTGTCGTTCACTTCTCTCAACATAGTGATCTCGTGCGTGCCGTTTCGAAAAGAATCTACATATGATAACAAACGAGGAAAACATTTGCATTTTAACAACAAAATTAAGTAAAACTGTACGCGTATTTCCAACTCGCGATTTTTTTCAGGTCAGTAACAAATAAAAACCCTTACTGTGATAGTAGCCTATGAAAGATATTGAGATGGACTTTTTGTTGTACAAGTGCGTGTGGGCACCCTCCATGAACCAACCGGTACCCTCATACACGTTACCGTCTCCGCCGACCATGAACCTGTCAAAGAACATACCGATTAGCGCGTTAAAATGCGATGTACTTAATACATTAAATGCCAAGCACAACAAGTATATATCTCAGTATTTAACGCGCAAAAAGCCGATAATTCAGTTTATGCATATATATATAGTGTGTTATTGATGCATATATATTATGTACTCACGAGTCACCAATGTCGTTCCAATGAAGGTCATCCATACGCGAGTCTTGTATGCCGCCTATGACTTTGGCGCACTCGTTGAAGCTGTAACAGTCGGTCGATCGGGTTTGGTGCATTATAACGTACGGTATGGGCGTGACCAGGTAATTCGTCGCCTTGTAACGCCGGGCTCCCCATAATTCCTTTTCCACGATTTTCGGACATCCGTCTATGTCTATTCTTGGAAACAAAAAATAACTGACACGTATTGCACGATTGATCGCCGATTTTCCTCGTTCTGCGTCCTTCGCGATGATTTTTTGCGTACACTTGCGTGCTGTGTAAAAATTATAGCTCAACAATTCTTACCAGCTTTAGAAAAGTCGACGATCAAGATGAAGATGATGCCAGCGGAGCACAATAAATGAGCTTGCAATGTTGTTCTCGTCATTTTTTCGATTATTTATAGCCGCAGGAGCTTGTTTTCAAAACTTTCCTATCGAAATCACTTGCAAATCCCGCAAAATAATCAAAGACAAAAGCGTGAACACATCGTTTCGAAAGTTCAACCGAGGGAGCCGCGATCGAATGAGCTCGGCATTTTTCTGCGCGTGGATACAAATACTGCTACTTATACTTCTTCCGTTATTATCAATCAGAGGGCGTACATACTTATACGCACGCGAATGTGTGATGTCTTGTTACTTACTTGCAAGATCACAAAAAAACGAGAAGATTTGAGCTATCCATGCAATAACACTTGCAAACTCTACCTACTACAAAGTTTAGTGTTTACATAATATAATAATTGCAGAACTAGACATCGCATTCCGAACTTTAAAAAGTACCATATTTCTTTTGAAAGTAATTCACTCGGAAACCTTACTATGGGCTAGTGTTCATAGCGGAGGGTCTATTGGAGCCGATTTACTAGACCCTTCGATCACTTCATACAAATTCCATAGGAAAACTTGCGAGGCTATGGTGTCCGCAGCGGAGGGTCTATTGGAGCCGATTTGTTAGACCCTCCGCTCACTTTATAAAAATTCAATCAGAAAACTTGCGAGGCTATAGTGTCTGCAGCGGAGGGTCTATTGGAGCCGATCTACTAGACCCTACGGACACTACGTACAAATTCACTCACTAAGTAGGCTAGTTTCCGCAGCGGAGGGTCTATTAGAGCCGATTTGTTAGACCCTACGCTCACTTTATAGAAATTCAATAGGAATACTTGCGAGGCTATGGTGTCCGCAGCGGAGGGTCTATTGGAGCCGATCTACTAGACCCTACGGACACTACATACAAATTCACTCACTAAGTATAGGCTATAGTTTCCGTAGCGGAGGGTCTATTGAAGCATTTGGAGCGGTTCCGGTTCACTTGGAAAACATGAATAAATATATATATATTTATTTATTTATTCATGAGACTGACGGCGGCCGATAAGATATTTATCTCAGGGACCTGTCTTACTGACATCACATGATGGTACGAGCATTCATGTCAGCTATCTGTCATACCGGCAGTCAGCATTACCTCAATGCCGATATGAGGTAATGCCGGCATCCCCTCGATGTCGGTATGGCAGGGGTCATTCAGTGTCGTCGGTACGGCAGGGCTCCTAGTCTACTGAAGAGTGGACCCTGCGAAAAATGCACTAGGAAAAATTACTATAGCTATATATAAGCTAGTGAATTTATTGAAAAAGAACTATATATGGTACTTTTTTTAGGTAGAAAAGCAGTCTATAGCTAGATAGCGCTGATTTTAAATTGAATAACTTCTGTATAAATTGATATTATAGGCATAAGAGTTATGTCATAACTGAGAAATATATGTGATAGTGGTGACGACAGTGTTGTTATTTTGAAAATTTGCAGACCAAGAGCTGATATCTGCGAGGATAGTTAAAAAATCTAAACCAGCCGCCACTCTCACCGGAATTTAGAAACCAAACTCCAATATTAGTGAAGATGCGAAATATTTTTTTTTGCCATACTTATTTCATTCTGGTAAAGAATTATGTGGTAATTAAAGTGGGACCATATGGTCAATTTAATAAACCAGCCACAACTTCAAAGTAAAAATAGAAAATGAAAAGTTGTTTTGTAAAATATTAGTTGTGACAAGATTTTATTTTTTACTTGAAAATTGACCATGGATCTATTTTTTTAAAGGTCGAATTTCAAATAGAAGATAAATTTTGAGTAAAAGATGGTATTTAATCTTGCCGAAAATGGCATTTGTTTCAGGAACTTTTGATTAGTTATGTGTTGGCTTATGTTGCGGCTAGTTTATAAAGTTGATTTTATTGTACCACTTTAATCACCACATAACTCTTCAATAGAATGAAATATGACAAAAATGTTTCGGGTCTCCTCGAATTAACAAGTTTTTTAGTTCTGGTGAGAGTTGCGGTTGGTTTAGATTTTTGACCACCCTCGGACCTTAGCTCTTGGTCTATAATGTATAAGGGAGTGCGGCTGAAAAAGTGTCCGGAAGTCACTGATGGGGCTCCGCCATTTTTGGGACTAACAAGAGATTGACATTAAAGAGTAAAGTGAGTTAGCTCTTACTTTAGTAGTAGTAGTTTTTCATTGGCTTAGAGAAAACATACAGCCACTGAGTATACACATAACACAGTTCGGAGCTTCGAAGCAGCAGCCGCCCAAGTCGTCAGACTAGACTTGACCGGGCCAGGCCAAACCAAATGCATATACTTAGCTAGTTTAGTCAGACTGTTGGAGTTTGGAGTTCTGTTCGGAGCAGAGATTAGTCGGATTCAGAGGGCATCATTAATTTCTCCTCGACTGTTTTGGTGAGAGGAATTCCTCTGCCGGCTCAATTTTATCGTCCCGCGTTCTATAGAGACTATAGTCTCTCATTTTTTTATCGCATACTTATTAATTTAGCGAAAGTCGCCTAATCGGTGCAATCGTTGAAAAAAATCCACCTTACTGCTGGGGAGAGTTCACGTCAATTCAATTAAAAGTGCGTTCATGTATATCTGTACAAGTGCGTGAGGCGAGGCGAGAGGCAACATATTTTACAGTACATACATACAACACGTCAGTGGTGTATAGTAGTTCTAGTTGTAGTACAGCAGAGAAAAGCAGCTGGAGTATACGAGCCAGCTAACGTTGACAATGGCCTACGAAACTAGTGAGTATTTTTGTGTCATGTATACGTAATTACCTTGTGTTCAAGTTAATATAATACGGACATTACTACCTCCAGGCAAGCTACAGGTTGTACTTACGACATTAGCATTGTAATAAGATAATGAGAAGTTTATTTCACCCAAGGGCCTGTGTATACTTACTATGCATACCGGCACACGCCATCTCCTCCCACATCATATAAAATATTATACCCTTATTCTCGATACTTTCTATTGTTTACTATTACCCTTTTCCTTTTATTTCAGACAGTTCCATAACTTTTTTACAGTACTTGCTGTTAAAGCCTATTTTATAGAGCGTCCGTTATCCTTGTGGATGTCAAAAAAACATTTTTCAGATAAAAAAATGTATACATAGCGAATGGGCAGAGATGATAAGGGAACAAACACACACACGCGCGTGCGCGCATAGGTATCACACGACCGCTGCAGTTGTTACTTTTTTGGAGCTCTGTAAGCGATGAGTCAGATAGAATCGAAAGCTCTGTACTTATAAGTGGAGTGTGTTTTCTCGGAAATGATCAAAAGGATACGACTATGTAGGGCACCATACAAAAGTTAAGGTCAAAAAGCTAATTTTTGATTAGTTTTTGTGACCATTTATTTCATTACACACAGCTACTTACGTCCGCGCCTCTATTCGTTGTTTCTCTATTATGTATATTATCATTGCTATGTCTAATTTCATTCATCTATTTTTGTACTGTACTATGATGTGTGAAATGACGCTTTAAATTACATCAACCATAAACAGAGTCGTGAGTTTTTAATTTCACCAGCCAAATTGTTTTTTTTTCCTTTTTTTTTTTTTTTTTTTTTTTTTTTTTTTTTTTTTTTTTTAAATTCTTTACGAGTACATTTTTTGTCGTTGACGATGACGGCTCATCCGGCGATACTGGTTTCGAGATGCTCGTTTATTTTTCACTCTGAGGGTGAAAACGCTCGGTGCCCTGCTTTCTTTTTACATTTCGATACGGGTTCGTCATCCTGTTGAAAAAAAACAACAAAAAATAGCTTTTACACTTTAAATGTGAATCAATGAACATAACACTTTGCAGTGCTGTTTACGCTAATCACCAACCTAATACTTACTCACTTACACACCTTTATCTCTGTTCATCAGTTACGGAATTGACTTATTCAACTGATAGTGTCGAAACGTCAAGACAGTAAAAATTCATTGCCCAACGTCAGATTGCGCTTCTCGTAAAACTAAAAATAATCATGAAATAGGTATAGGTACACTCGGCAACTGACGCAACGCCATGGGTGGAGGGTACATTTAGTTAGTAAAAAAGTCTACACGAGTACAGCATGATTATTACGCCTAAATGGATCAGGAGCACCGGTGCTGTGTCCTAATCATAGATGCCCGTGCAACTTATGGAGTTACAAAAATAGTTGCGGTTGTAACTCGCGCGCGAGAGCCGCGTTTTGGTTCCCTGCCAAAAGTGGGAGCGAGAGAAAAAGAGAGCATTCGTGTTGTTTGAATTTTATTAGGGCGTGTCGATGTTGTTTTTCACATTTTTTTCAAGCTCTCCAATCAATATTACATAATTGAAACATCAAAATTAATTCGTTTTGCTGCTTTTCTCTCTCTCTCCTACTCGCACCCTTTTAAACTAGCTAAACTTTTGTTTTCACTTTAAATACACATTTCGCGCAATAAACACACCCCAAGAGTTTATTTTTGTCTTTTGGAACACGCGCATTTCAGATTGAAAACAGCGCGTAGTACACGTACACAAGAAATCTGCTCGTGTAATTTTAGAATCGGCCGATATTATATTTTCTTCCAGAGTACATATTCGCGACGCTGCCGCGCACCCAGAGGGGCCAACCACTGGTACTCGGGGCCGATCCAAAGGGGAAAAATTTTCTCTACACAAACGGCAACAGCGTCATCATTCGCAACATCGAGGTATGTGTGTATTTATATGATTTCACGTATGCGTGAGTATATAGTTATTTTTTGTTAATTATATACCAACGACAACGATATTTTTATTTCAGAATCCGGCTATCTCGGACATATACACCGAACACTCGTGTCCCGTAAACGTCGCCAAGTACTCACCGAGTGGTTTTTACATTGCTTCTGGAGGTAAGAGAGAGAAAGAGAGATTTATAAGTGTACAAAAAAGGAAACGAGCTTGTGTAACGCAACAATTTGTTGACACTGACAGATCAGTCCGGTAAGGTGAGAATCTGGGACACCGTGAACAAGGAGCACATCCTGAAAAATGAGTTCCACCCGATCGGGGGCCCGATCAAGGATATCGCCTGGTCACCCGACAATCAGCGAATGGTCGTCGTTGGTGAGGGCCGCGAAAGGTACGCACACCCATATATATCAATACACCATTGCACCGCAGTGGCTCGATGACTTTTTTTTTTTATTTTACACTTCAAAAATCTATCGCGTTCGTTTAGATTTGGCCACGTGTTCATGTCCGACACCGGCACGTCCGTCGGGGAGATTTCGGGACAGAGCAAGCCCATCAACTCCTGCGACTTTCGGCCGGCAAGACCCTTTAGGCTGATCACAGGTAGCGAGGATAATACGATCGCCGTTTTCGAGGGACCGCCGTTCAAGTTCAAGTACGTCGTTGGGTGCCCCAAAGACGTATCGGTTGACTTACGTATATGATATTTCGCATGATTTCAGGATGACCAAACAGGATCACACCCGATTCGTGCAGGCGGTTCGCTACTCGCCCTCCGGCAACTTGTTCGCCTCCGCTGGTTTCGACGGCAAAGTTTACCTCTATGACGGCACGACTTCCGAACTCGTCGGCGAAGTTGGCTCGCCCGCGCATCAGGGAGGCGTTTACGGGGTATGTTGAGCTGGATTGTTCGTTTGGTATTTCTCGTGTCTATTTCAGTTTTCGAATGAATCGTCCTTTTTAAACTTTTTAAAGGTGGCTTGGAAACCCGACGGTACTCAACTCCTGACCGCCTCGGGAGATAAAACTTGCAAGCTCTGGGACGTCGAGACGAGGACTCTCGTCGATGAGTTCATTATGGGCAATACGGTTGACGATCAACAGGTAGAATTTTTCAACAAAATAATTTGAAAGTTTATTTTTTCGCTGACGAATCGTACGATTTAGGTGAGCTGTTTGTGGCAAGGAAATCACGTTCTCTCTGTATCACTCAGTGGCTTCATCAACTATCTTGATCTCAATAATCCACTCAAGCCTCTGAGGATAGTGAAGGTACGACAAGTGATTTTTTTTTTTCAAGTGTATTCAAGAATCTGGAACAAATATCGATTAATGTTTTTGGTTTCAGGGACACAACAAACCGATAACAGTATTAACAACGAGCCAAGACAAGAGCACGATATACACAGGCTCGCACGATGGGTACGTCACGAACTGGAAATCGTCGACTGGTGAAAACGATCGCGTACAAGGCCAGGGTCACGGCAATCAAATTAATGGTATGAACGCATCGGCCGATCTTGTCTACACTGCGGGTATCGACGACACCCTCCGAGCGATTGACATAGCGACTAATTCGTACGAAAACACGTCAGTATTGAGGCTGGGTTCGCAGCCAAGAGGACTCGATATTTATAATGGTTTAGTTATCGTTGCTGCTGTTAAACAGGTAAGACGATTTCTCGACGGATTTTTTGCTATTATAACATTGCGAAACGTTTCGGAAGCGTTTTCAGTAGAAAAACGTTTCGCTTATTGCTCAGTTTAATTTCTCAATGGATAACACATGAGGAATCGTTTTCTATTTGTAGCTTGTAGTCACTAAAGACGGAAAGAAAGTATCGGGCTTGCCGATCAATTACGACCCCTCATGCGTGACCGTTAATCAAAGCAACGGAGATGTTGCCGTTGGTTCCACTTCGGATAATAAGGTAAATACATCGTGTTGTAAATTCATTTCTCTATCATACAATTTTTATTACATTATGCAACCTTCAACGTACAGGTATACGTTTATACTCTGGACGGCACTAATCTCACTCCAAAGACTGAACTGGAACACTTGGGTGCCGTGACTGATGCAGCCTACAGTCCTGATAATAAATACTTAGTTGCCTGTGATGCACACCGCAAAGTCGTTCTTTACGTCGTTCCAGAGTACAAGGTGAATAATTGATTCTGTTTGAAAAATATTAAACCCTCTAATGCCCCAAGGCTTAATAACTAACAAGCTTATATTTTTAATGCTTTCTATTAACATGGGGAATCGCAGAAGGTGAGTAGGGTTCGTTCAAAAAACTGTGTATTTTCATAATGAAAATATTGGATATTTTTTGTACTGCATTAACAGTTTCGGTATCAGTAAATATGCATTTAAAAAAAAAATTTTTTTTCCAACGTTTAGTTGGCGCACAATAAGGAATGGGGCTTCCATAGTGCAAGAGTAAACTGCGTGGCATGGAATCCAGAATCATCAATGGTAGCAAGTGGAAGTCTTGATACTACAATCATTATTTGGAGTGTGACTAATCCCGCGAAACACACGATTATAAAGAGTAAGACAAAAAACTTTTTCCAAATGACTTGATATTTTACATTTTTGTTTATTCTTACTTTATTTATGCAAAAATTCGATTTAAGATGCCCACTCACAAAGCCAAATCACTAAGCTCGAGTGGTTGGACGAAGAAAGCGTAATTTCCGTTGGACAGGATTGTAACACAAAGATATGGCGTGTGGAGAAAATCTGATTGAGCTGAAGCTAGATGGGAGAACCTGTTTTGATAAGAAACAGCTTTATTAACAACGGATGCATTTTATTTATTTCTTACTGATTCCTAGCTCGCAAATCACATTGTATATTATTTTTAATACAACAATCGATATACAATCATTGAGATAATTTAATTAGTCGAATTAATTATTAATGACTCATCAAGTTTCAATTTCGATTACTTTAAAAATCGTTTGGACAGTGATTCAAGTATACTTATGATTTAAAATGCCTATTTTCTGGCTATGACAAATTATTGTTTTGTTTTCACCCTTTTTTGTTATATCAACTATTAACTCTGACGTGAAAACCTTGTTAAAAATAAAAATTTTGTATCGACTCAAATTTTATAAGCTAAAAAAATATCAAGTTCCAGCTCTAAGAATTCATTGTCTCGACCATCCGCAACTAAAACAATCTTCTAAAACGAGATCCGCCTTTTTAAAACAAATTAACGACAATAACAATTGAGCAAACAAGCAATAACAATATTATGAACACTAGGGGGTCTCTTTAAGGAACTTTTGTTTGCCTCTCCCTCTACACATAACTTCAAACAATTGTTTTGGACGTTTCATTCCATCGTCTCGAAAATAACATAATTCTTTCAGTCAATGTGATCCCGGACAGACCTCTCCTGGACTACTTATTGACTCTCCACCCTTGAAGTTATGTTGTCAGTGCCAGTGGAAAGGATGCCTTTTTGTTTATATATATATATTTTTTCTTTTCTCTAACGAAAACACTTTACACTGCAACAGAGTCTTTGAAACTTGTGTTAGGGCTTTGCGGTGCTGTATCTCGCTCGTTTTTGCGCCGAATTAACAGGATGACGATACGATACGTGCTTCCTCAGAGCATCTCGGGAACGAGACACGTGAGAGCACGCTGCGCAGCTGTACGAGCTGTTGCTGTGCGTCTCCATGTGGACTCGCAAATTGTACTGGTTGCTCAGCTGCTTACCGCAAATAAGGCAAGTGACGCTCGTCTTGTTGCAGCTTTGGCTCGATCGATTGGCCGTCGTGCCTGCACTAATAAAGGACTTGAAATTCGTGTCGGTCAGCTGCAGTGGCTTGACATTTTCTGGCAAAGGGCTTTGGCACTCTTCCTTTAAAGTAATGTTACTTGAGTGTCCAACGTCGATTTTATTGAAATTTGACTTATTCTTTTCCCTCTGATTCAATTTAGCGTTGATGGAGTAATAGGGCTTTGTTTTAACACTACACGGGAGATCATTGAGTTCACTGGAGTTGCTGGGATCAGGTTCAGTTTCGAGACTTCGTTCGAGATTTTCCGACGGAAAGTCCGTGGCGATAGGCTCCATTGCTTCGTGAGGCTCGGGCGTCAAAATTTCATCGTGTTCCTTCGGATCGTTTTTTATGGGTGGTTCGAATTTTTCGGACGTGTGGAAACTTCTTTCTTCAAGCGGAGGAGGTGGATCTAGTGTTTGATTGCTTTCGTACCTGGACGCTCTCTGAAACGTGAAATATTTTATATACACATATGTTCATCAGCATAGGTAACTTACAGCTGCGATTTGCAAAAAAAAAAAAAGATCTATCATCGCAACGTAAAAATAGCTCGCTCGTTTCAAAATTGTACAGCATATGTATACCTACTATAAGGAGTATTATTTTAATTTTTCCATAAATTTATATTAAACACTATTAGTCAAGTTACAAATATGTATATGCTAATAAAGCAGATGAACGATATTACGAAAAAAATTCTTAGTTCACCAAAAAGCTTGACTTTATTAAAGTGTGAAGCTCGACGATTTGTAAAAAATTAATTGAAAAAAAAATAATAATAATAATAATAACACAAAATACGTCGAAAGAGCTCAAAATTGATGTATGAGTGAGATATAAATGTATATAGAAAACAACACAGCGTTATCTGTACCTGTTGAGCAACTTTCTACTCGTGGGATAGGATTCCATTTTGGGGGGTCATCCGTTTGCTTGTTTAGTTCTTGCTCACTTTCTTGCAACACACACAACGATTCTTGATCTCGTGGGTATCGTTTGAGCATTCATTATCATTGCTCGTTGAGCGAATGACAGTGAATGTGCGTGCTTAAGTCACCTGAACAAAACAACGACACAATCGTTTGCTTTAATTTTGTTAAAAAAAACTGCGGTATGGCAACAGTAATTTGTTTTATTAAGAGAGGCACTTGGAGAAAGATTTAAAAAAAATAAATAAATAAAAAGACAATTAAACATAGCGTTTAAGAGAGGAAAAAAAATTAATCGATAAACATGCAGCATGCAAAAGGATTCTGCTGTACAAAGAAGGAAAAAAAGGGAGTAAGTACAGAGCTTGAAAGGAAAACGAGATTTAAAAATCAAAATTAAGACTGAAAGATTTGTATTATCAACAATAAAAAAAGAAAAAAGTACGATAAAAAAAATAAAGTTGTCACAGAGTGAAAAAAAAAAAAAATCAAACATCAAAGAATCCATTACCCCAGCAATATCTGCCAATCCACGAATGTGCAGCGTGTCCGCCATCGCCAGTAGGGCAGGAAGTTGTTCTTGATAAATGTTAACTTCGCCGTTGTACATAAATGTAACCAGGGCACAAAGATTGGCGTACTCCATTCCAGGTAAAATAATCACGGGGTGCTGGAGCGTATTCAAATCCTAAAATTTAATACAATTCATCGCGTCAATCGTCGCACAAAGCGTACATGATAATATTATCATAAAATACATGTAATAGCTAAAATACAAGCGCGCACGTAGGTGTATAAAAATATTATATTATGTGCACCTTGAAGAGTTCTTTGAAATAGTAACTACACGCGGAAAGGATCAATCTGTGGGCATGGATGTGTCTCCCGCCAGCGCTGAGAGTGACGTCGGTCAGGTAGCCGCCGTCAAGAAGCTTCGGCAAGGAAGTGAGCAGTGTGTTTTGGAAGTTGTGCCAACGCAAACAGAACTGTTGTCCCTCCATGATTATTTGTAAATACTGAAAAACATTACATATTATATACATGTGTGCACATAATTTTAATATATGTTATTAATATTGTAGTACTTATACAATACTATTATCATCTGTTTGCTCTAGATTCCAGACATTATTTATCGCAAGCTAGCATACATATAGTACACACAGCCCCATAAAGTATAAGAATTAACGCGAAGAAAAAAACAATTCCTCGATCTCATATATACTATATAAAAAAAAACACAATCACACCGAATTGCTCTCGACCCAAAAGACTAAACGAAATAAAAAATACTTAAAAAAGCAGCTCATTTGAGCAAAAAAATAACGAAAATTATAGCTCACCTTCTCTCGGAGCTTTGCAAAACTTGTACTTTACAGTTACACGTACGTATATTATATACAAATAAGTACATGAGTATAAGAGCGTGCGACATATATAAGCGTCCTCCGATGGCCAATTCTATTTATTTAATCGACTCGAGAGCGAGAGCATCAGAGAGAGGCCAGAGAGTAGGTGTGTGCACGCGCTCTTGTGTAGGTAGCAGCGAGCCGAGCTTGCAGAGAGAGAGAGAGAGAGAGAGAAAGAAAAGTCAGGTTCCAGCCAATTCTATTATTGTCGTAGAGCCGCGGCTGGAGCAAGGTAACATTTCGACACACTCATATATACATGCATACACACCACCCATCAGGCATGCCAGAGAAGAACACGAGAGCTTGCGCTGCCTACTCTCTTTCACCCGATCTCTCTCTCCGTACGTTGTACGGATATGCATACAACACCTGATGTATATAATAATACATACATACACACATGCATACTCTCATATCACACATACACGTTCATTGTACATATTATTTCGTAGGCCGCCCGCCTTATTGCGCACATTATAATAATAATGTGCGTACATACGCCCCTTTCGTCATAATGCGCGCTGGGAATTTGTTTTTCTCTCCTCGACATCTTGCAAGAGGCTTTTATAATTATAATGGCACAACTGCGCGTACATTCGAAAAAGCACCCTCCCTTCTTACCTTATAACAATTAATATTATGACGAGAGAGAAAAACTGGATTTTTTCACACAATGTACTCACGATCTTTTATTCTCACACTCGTTGCAAACTGCGTTGATAATGATAATCTCGAACGCGCGCGCGCTTGTGTGTTCATGCGGTTATATATGAAGGGGGGAAAAAAAAGTAAAGAGAAAAAAAAAAGGTCGACTGGCGCGTTTTTGAATGAGGTAGCGACTGAGGGGTCAGTGTATATATATATAAAGTTGCGCGGCCTTGTTTTCCTCTATAATGTTTTTCATTGATTATATACATACATTTGTGGTGGTAGACACGCGTGCTTCTGCCTTTTTTTTTTTTTTTTTTTTTTTTTTTTTTTTTTTTTTTNTGTTGCTGTGGTATCTGTTGGTATTGTTGTTGTTGAACGTGCTGTGGAATCTCATTATGATACGGTGGAAACTGAAAAACATTTTAGTAAGTTTATTTATTTGTATTTTTTTTTTTTTTTTTTTTTTTTGTATTATCTTCCTTGTTCTCGATGATGATGCTGCTGTGCGCGGAGACAACGACCGAGAACTATATATATACTTGGACAGAAGTGGTGCACGCACTGCTCGCGCAAGGGGTTATCGTCTGACTGGCTATGCTAGAACTAGAATCGAGCCACGGACTTATTATTGCAAGCTCGCGCGCGCGCTCTCTCGTTCTCCACGAAAACAGGGGTTCGGAGGAGGAGGAGAGAGCTTTTTCCAAATTGGCAGCCTCGGAATACATATGATGATACGTATATATACGCACATTATAAAAGCTCTCTTTTTTTTTCTTCGCTTTCAGGTCAGGTTGGGCGAGCTTGCGGTTTTGTAGTATACTGACCTCTCTACGTGGTGATGGATCATCCATCGATTACTGATTATTTTCACTTATTTTACTCATCTCAACGGGTACTTACTGTTGTTTTTTCACGTTTTTTAAAAACAATATCCTTCTAACTTACACTTAATAGTATATATATATATATATATATATATATATATGTTGTAAAAATTATAAACAATGTACACTCAATCGACGTTGATTATCGGTTCATTGGTATACAAATTGATCGTTTGGCACGATCTGACTGGAAGCTATTGTGTCTTTTAAGAGCTTTTCGTCAGGGAGAGAAGGTAATGGCCATGGGGTAGATGATGATGATGAAAGGTGTAGGCAGGTGAGATTTTATGAATCCCTAATATGTTACAATTTTTGCGTTTTACCTCAACTTATATATGTTTTCAGTTGACTGAAGAATTGGATTGTAGTCCTGCTCAAAATTTGATGATCAAACAAACTTCTAGTGAAGTTCAATCATACTAATTATATACGAGCAACTTTTTTCGGAATATCATATTATATTATTATGTTTTTATTTCTAGGATTCTTACTCGTATATACGCACTTATAGTTTTTAATAGCATTTAAAAATAAAGTTATGTGAAACAGTTTCCATAAAATGATAAAATTATTAAAAGGAAACAAAAATCAAAAAATTTGTTCTAATGATTGCGAATAAAAAAATGGTAAATTTCATTTTGGACATTATTTTTTGAAATTTAACACATCACTCGCAGAAAAAAAAGCATGGATGTGTAAGGTGCATGAAAAACGTAATAATCGAAACTATACAAAAATGTATTCACAGCTTGTCAAGTACAACATAAAACCGTTATTAATTAATGTCTTGATCAAAAGAAAAAATTTTCCTAAACCATATTAGAAGCAATTATTATCAATATTGTTAGTGAGGGTGAGGGACTGCGGGAGAGCGAGAGAAACAAAGTGATTCGCATTTAAAGGATAATTTTCATGTTTTATCATTGTAGAAAAAAATTTGCATCAAGGCGTCTGATCGGTCTGATCAGTTGAACGGCCATTGCCACCGGCGACACGAAGAGGCGCCTTTATTTTCAAATGCTTTCTCTCTCTCTCTCGCTAGTAGATATGATTATTTTTACTTGTTGGCACGTTGGCAGTATTTCTGGACTTTGTTGTTTCTTGGTTGGGATAGTTGGATTTCGGTTTACCTACTTACACTTATTTCGTTAAATTCTTATCAGTCAGTGCAAGTGTGCAAGTCAGTGCTTGCTCACCTTCTAAGCATGATTGTTCAGCGGTGCCGTGTGCTCAGCATTTAAAACCGGGCGAAAAGAGGGTTAAGTTAGAAAAAAAAAGTTTCCAACGAATAGTATAACTTCTAGTCTTTCAAGTATCATCAACATGCTAACAACTGCAGTTAACAATATGAACAATAACAACGAGCTGGCGGGCCGAAATGGTGACGTACGTGACTAAAATTCCTAAGTATATTACTTTGTTCAGTTATTATCATATCTCGCAACCATTCACCGATTCGTCAAGATAATTCGTCTAATTGGGAATTAAGTTCAATACACGTGATATGCAGGAAATTTTATTATTTATTTCGATTTTATCGAAATCCTCGAGGAGAACTCTTTCATGTTCTCGGACTGCACTGCATGTGTTTCTAAGAATTCGCGCACATGGCTTTATGTCATACTAGGTGAACGTGCGAGAGTACCTGCAGGTGGTAATTATGAGGCATGCCTACGTATATATGAGTACTGAATAACAACGTATTAAAACTTTTAAAACTGATGTGTTCTTGAGAAAAACGAGGTACTTGAGCTAAAAAATACCAAGAAAACGTTTTTTTTTTCATATAGCCCAATCATATCTTGGTGCTGTGATTCATTACATTCATTTTTCTGAGTAGCGTTGCCTCTTGAAATGAAAATAAAACAAGTCAATCTGAAAAAAAAAATTAACCAACCCAAGTACAGTGGAGGCCGTTTAATTCGTTGAGCGGGAAATTCAAAAATTTAATTCCCATTGGCTGGTTCGATCACATAACCTCTTTCATTGCTCAATTTTATACTTCCCGCTCAACGAATTAAACGGCCTCCACTCTCCAGTCTCTCCACTGTACTTATACGGTAATACAGTAATGATTTGTCAGATTTTCTTTTAAAGCCTTGTGCTGTTTTTCACGTAACATATTTTGACTTTTGCGAGCTGCTCTCTCAATCTTTCTTATTTTTCTTTCCATTCGTATTTATAAAAGTTTCGGTGAAAAAATTAGATTTAAGTTGATTCGAAAAATTCAATCGTTTACAATGGTAATTCTCCATGTCAAAAAATATCCACAGATTGTTTGGATCTCGACAAAAAGAAAATGGACTTGAGAAGAAACTAATCGTTTGGTAGCATTTATTTTATTCAAGTTATTGAAAGATCAGAGTAGGGTTTTTAAAAAATGTTAAAAAATCATTAAATATATTTCCTGAACCAATAAAAGTTTATGACCATGTTAATTCCGAAAATAAATATCGCGTGTAAGTGTAATGAACGTTTTGAAGAATTCAATAATGTGAAAAAAAAATTGTAATAGGTACACCCATTTTATTCAATTTGCCAATCTAACGATAAACGAGGTATTAATCACGATAAAATCTACAACGTTAATTAAATAGACTTACTGTCATTTTTTTATCCACAGTTGAATTTCACTTCGATTATATTTCCATCGACCAAATCAAGTTAGATCGAAAGAACGCGTCGAAGTCGCGATAAATTTCGAATCGACTTGAATCGCCTTTCTTTAGCGGGATATATATATGTATACATATATGTATACCTTCAAGATTAAGTTTATATACCTCTTTATACCCTGCCGTGAGTCGCGAGCCACATCTCGCTTCGGCTTCACCCATAGTAAGTATATAAATAAATACTCGAGGTGTTTACAAAAAAAAGTTTCAAAGTCAAGTTAAAGTTCTGTTTTAGTTTAAGCTTCATATTATGTTCGGACGTTCGTGTACGCTATATTATACCGCCTGAATCTTAGCTTTGGCTAGTGTGTTGAGTGTTCTGTGTGTCCTATAATTAGTGCTGCAATAAGTTGTCGGGCATCTTGGAGAGCCTGTCACCATCCTCGTTGTCGGAAAATAAGTGTAGGGAAAGAAAAAGAGCCACAAGTTGTTTAATTCATTCGTTTGTAGTGCCTGCCACACACCACCAGTTTAACACGTATACCTACCATGTATTCATTTCTCAGATAGGTCTACGCCCCAATACAACAGCCGTTTCACTCACATTTTTTCCGTTGAGGAAAATTTTTCATGAGAGCCTATGAAAAATTAATTTCTCTACGAAGGAAAAGTGACTTCCCGGCCTACCTCTCTCAGATGTGTAAACTTACCCTTTAGTTTTCTCTAGATTCACACACACCTTTGCTGTCCTACTATCATGCTACCGATAATACCGATCCAGCAGTAGGTATCCATAACTCGGACCCTCGGACGACCGATAAAAACATTGCGCATTCTCTCATCCCCCTCCCCTGTATGAGTACGATAGTCGTCGGTCGTCGGTCGTCGGCTCTCCGCAAGTGCTCCAAAGTCCATCGTACAGCCTCCTAACCTTCGTTGTGGAGGCCACCCGGAGCATTTCGTGTGGGAATTACACATTTATCGTTGTCACGTCGGGATCGCTGGTCTCCTCTTCCATAGGTGCATTTTTTTTAATATTTCCCACTTCTGCTTCTTAATTCTTGTACTTCTCCGCGCGCCCGCGAGCAACACGAATAGCTCTCTTCCTTTTTTTTTATGAGTAGTTATACCTACTTACATCTCTCTGTCTCTTTTTCTCTCTCTTCGTCGTGTGTCTGTCTGGCCCGCGTCCGTCTGAGCTTCATCCGTCTACCCCTCCATTTCCTCCTCTACGAGGAAGTGTTAAGTATATGTACACTGTAATAATACATACCTTTGCGCCTACGTCCCCTCGCGCCTACGTAAGCTTCAGAAATCGTGCCTGTTCACTCTAATCGTTGTCGTCGCCGTCGTCGTCATCGTCTAACTGGTGTGGTGTACGATATATTCTCAGACCTTACATACATAAATCATATTTTCCGTTGATTCACGTGCTCAGGTCGTGCAAAGACCTCGTGTTCATTCGTGCGCGTTATTCTAAAGTTTTATTCTTGATTGCGTGGCTACCTAGTTCGACTCTACAAGTATACTGTCACCAAGATCCCCACATTTGACTCTAGCTCGTTTGTGTCTGCTTGAGTTCTGTTTGCCTCTGTTTTGAAGCTCGATATCCATAGAATTTTGTTTATTTATTTGTATTTTTTTTTTTTTTTTTTTTATTAGAAAAAAATGAGTAGCTCTGAAGAAGTCTCTTGGATATCTTGGTTCTGTGGCCTCAAGGGCAATGAATTCTTCTGTGAGGTCGATGAGGACTACATCCAGGACAAGTTCAACCTAACAGGACTCAATGAACAGGTACCACATTACCGCCAGGCACTGGATATGATTTTGGACTTGGAGCCAGGTATGTTGGATAACTAAACGCACTACTGTTTTTTGTTGTTGTGGCTGTCATAAGTTTTAGTAAATATGTTTTTTAAATCAGATAATTGCGCGTGATTATCAATCGATAAGTGTTAAAGATAAAGCAGTGTTCAGTATAGATTTATTGGTATATATTTCGACATGTATTGCACATACCTGTCAATAAAGTGTATAAAAATAGAACAAACATGTTTCCAATATAAGTCACCAAGCATTGGTTCAGATATACTTTCTTTAAGCACCGTATTTTCTTTTTAATCATCATAAGATTGTCTTCAATGTTATAATTTGTTATACTCTAACTAATCGTCATAACATTGTTTTGTTTTTAGATGAAGATCTCGATGATAATCCTAATCAATCAGATCTCATTGAGCAGGCTGCAGAAATGCTGTATGGATTGATCCATGCTCGTTACGTTCTCACAAACAGAGGTATTGGCCAGATGATTGAGAAATATCAAGCTGGTGACTTTGGACACTGTCCGCGAGTCTATTGCGATTCACAGCCTATGCTTCCATTGGGACTGAGTGACGTGCCCGGTGAAGCTATGGTAAAAAGTTACTGTCCAAAATGCATGGATGTTTACACACCTAAAAGCTCACGACATCACCACACTGATGGTGCATACTTTGGAACAGGGTTCCCACACATGCTCTTTATGGTTCATCCCGAATATAGACCAAAGCGTGCAGTAAATCAATTTGTACCAAGGTACGTTGCTGTAATACTTTATTAGTATCTAACTAGAAATGATCTCTAAATTTTTTGCGTTGTTAACCGTTTACTCATTTACACTGCGTTTTCACGTATTAATGTACATTGTTTTTGCAGGTTATATGGATTCAAAATTCATCCTTTAGCTTATCAAGTTCAACAACAATCAGCAGCTACATTCAAACAACCACTCAGAGCAATGAATTACAACAACGGAAAGCGCTAAGATCCATTTAACATAGTCTAGGCAGAAAAAAAGCAAAACTTCTTCACACTAATTGAAATGCAAATCTTACTTTCGTCCCTAAGATTAAAATGAAATGAAATATTATTTTTTATATATGATATCTCTCAATCTCTTTCCTTGCGTCAAACTGTGACGCTAAAGGCAACGTTAGAAGAATATCGTCGTTCAAAGCTATTTCTCCAGGTCTCGGGCAACAATTCTAACGTCAAAGAGAAAAAAAGAGAGAATTGTACATTTAAATTTTTTTAAACTCCGAAGTTATAGACAGTTCTTTTTTTTTCCTAAAAATTTTGACCGCGGGTCTGTGCGTGTGACCGAAATATTCTTGTTCACATCAAGGAACGTAACATGTGCAGAAGAGGAAAGCTTAAGGCAAGCAAAAAAACGGATAATAAAATTGATCATTAAAAAAAATAAATATATACCTAGAATAATAGCTAGGATACAAGAGCAAAGACAAGAAAAGTAGATTGTATTTGTCTGTACAAGTCACACGCGTCATTTATGGTTGCTGCCAAGTAGTTCCTAAGCTCAAGAATGCTTTCTACTGAATTCGAAAGTCTGACAAGGAGCGCGCAGGTAGCATAAAAGAAACTTGATGAAATTAATAAAAATATAAGTGAAATGTGCATAAGCTAGATTTCTTAACCGTGAGGCGAAAAAGAAAAATAAATACGATGTTTATAACAAATTTTTTGTTACGATTCTTTTTTAAGTCGGTATTTGATAAATTTCCATTAATATAAAATATATAATTGATGCGATAACATTTTTTAATACAGTAGTGGAAATTTGTCAAAAGCTTGAGACTTGAAATCTAAATTTTATACAACACTTAAATATTAAATGACGTTTTAAATGTTCTTACAAATATTTGTGCTTATTATATTCTTTTACTTAAGTAGTTTCTTTCTGGTTTTCACGAAAATTTATGTCTAGTGATTTCTTTTGAGTATAAAACAATGACGTGTGAGAAAAATTATGAAAAAATAGTAAGATGATCACTGTTTGAGTGTTTGTTGATGCTTAATTAAATTTAATAAATCGTCAAAGAATGTGTGGTTTGCGACTGAGGATTGTATTCCTAGACTCGCAGATTCAAGCAGTAAAGTATAAGACGCGTGAGAGAAAACACATGCCTGTTATTATTGTACCGACTAAATTAAATTTAGAGGGTAAAGTTTTTATTTTACTATCGTTTATGCTTTTGATCTTACAGTCGGTTATTCGCGCCACACTCTTTAAATCGAGATTTGAATCCCTCTTTTTTATAGTCTTAATATATCTCCTTTTTCGAACGTTGTTAATTCTTGGTAAATAGTTAGTTCTTTTACATTTACTCTAGTATTACTATTCCCTTAATCTCTATTTTAATTGCGATTACGTTCTTACAACTCCACTTTTATTTATTACTTTTTTTTTAGTGCGAGTTTTTCGACGAGTATGGCACGAATCGCCAACTGAAAGAAATACAAGCTTTTTTTTAAACACATTTTTTATTGTAATACAAAAAACATAAACGGCTTTTCTTTTTTAAGTAAACGACCCTTTGACTAGCGAATCATTCATATTTTGTTCATACACAAAATGTAAATCGATCTATAAATTAATACACGACTTATTTAAAAAAACAAAAAGCAAATTGTCTTCTCATTAGTTTATTTTTATAATAACCTCTAACGAAATGAAAAAAATTGTCCAACAAAATTTATTAACAACTTTTGCATCCTTCCGTGTTACATTTGAATTTCTTTACCTACGCAAAACAAAACTGTCGTTTCATTGGCCAAGAAAAAGAAAGGGTGTTGCTTTCCATTTCAGCCAATGAGCGCGCGGCTTTGATTTCAAAATTGTGTCCGAAAGACGACGGAGACCGGTACGCTACTGCTGCTGCAATTCTGCAATTATTTCAAAACAAGCATGCATGCAGTAAGTAGTAGTGGTGTGTCTTATAATCTCATAATCTCATTCAAAATCTAATTTTTGAATTGTTAAGTACGTACTTATAAAGAACTCAACCTGCGTTAGGTTGTGGTTTGGTAAAATAATTTTAAAGTCTAGGTAAATGCCATGGTGGGTGGGTTATGTTATGTTACTCTGTAAAAGTGATTTCAACAACCCTTTTTGCGTGAATTCGTTGAGACCAAAAGGTTTCGTGTGCTTTGTTGTGTTGTATAAGTGTATGTGACAGGTGTGCAACTGTGCACGGTCTTGATGGATCAACGGCAAAAAGATCAGCCAACAACAAAGAGCTTTGTATATATTTTTTCCATAGATTGCGGTACAAAGTACCTGTAGGTGCATTTGGATAACATCAAGCTTTTTAGCGTTGCTTTCGAAGTGGATATTCGAAAGAAACCGTCAAATTGTTGTTGTTTTTATTGTGAGTATTTCATCTGCATGCAACGTTGCTACTCTTTTGCTCAAGATTATTAATGTTTGTTCTAAATAACATTACTTTCATCAAAATTGTTGGTTTACGTCGTGATTCATGCAACTCGTTGATTTTCTTTTTCAGTTAATCGAAATGGAAGAGCAATCGTTTCACGAGAAAGAGGAATTGGCGGAGAGTTTGACTGTGCATCCGCAGCCAGAGCCGTGGGTCAAATTCAAACCAGTGTTGGTAAAAAAGTTACTCGCTGAAATGAGCGATGATGATTTAGATGACAGTGATGACAACGGGACTCCAAAGTCTGAGAACTCGGATGATGAATCGGACAATCTTGACGGCTGTCAGCCACTGTCTGAAGAGTGCACCAGCGATCTAGTCCTCTCAAATTTGACGACACAGACAAATGTTCAAGTGGATATTGCTGTAGGAGGTGAAATTGTCGAGAAGTCTGACACCATCCAGAAAATCAATGACGTTGTAAGTGTCAAAATTACGGAGAGTATTGAGTGCAGTAAAGGCGTTGACGATGCTTTTGCCAAAAGTATAGACAAAAGATCAGTTTCTAATTCATTTTTCAAGGATTCTTCAAAAGTGAACGAGTGCACAGCAAGGACTGAGGAAGATAAGCTTCTCAGTGGCTCTAAATGTAGGAGTTCTAAAGGATCAACAGAACCAGATGGAAGTTTACTGTCTCGATGGCAGTCACAGATAAACATAGACAAGAGAAAGTCGTTGCCAGTTAAGGATCAGAGTGAGCCCAGCATAAAATCCAAGTGTACTCCTGATCCCAAGAGATACTCCCATGGTGTAGCGTTTGGTCACACTAATGAGAGTCAAGACAAGTATGGTCACCAGTATGAAACTTACGCCAATTCTAAGGAATCTCAGGAACCGAGAAGATACTCTTCTGCAAGTAGTGGCAAGTTGTACAATACCAATAATGAATTCATGGATGATAAAATATCAGCATCTGTAAAGATGCCAGTCGATCAAGCAAATAATCGTAGGACTAGCGCCGCGCATTCAACATTAAATGTAACACATGGAGTTATGGATACACCAATGAAACATCTGCATGGATCTACAAGACCAAATCCTTGTACATCTCACAGAAACATTTTTCAAACTCCTCAAGATAAAAACGGCAATGAGTATGCAAAAAATCCGATGCAAACTCCAGCTACAATATTTTCACACAGCTTGTCCCAAAGGCACATGGCTCAGACTCCAATGCAAACTTTAATGCCTGTTGGTAAAGAATCCACGCAAACTCCTTCAAATCGAGAAAGTATGCGAACTCCTGCAACCACTTGTGTTCAGTCACACAATGCTAGAGTTGAAAGACCCAAGTACGTATTTGTTAAATTGGATTGGGATAAAAATATTATCTTATATATGAACATTTTTTTTTCTTCTACAGATATTATAGTGCAGAAGGTAAGGGTGTTCGTAGACCGTTGGCAGAAACAATGTTCTCTGCTTCGCTTCAAGGACCTCAGCTCCCAAGATTGCAAGAAACCCCGAACGAGTCTCAATCAAGTTTGCCAACCACAAAAGATAGCAACGGTGCTCTGGCCCATGAAAATACTGGCGAAAAGAAACCTGTGTGTTCATCGCACGTAGTTCATGAGACTAAGGAAAACAAAAATCCAAACACTCATGACTTTCTCAAAAGTGAAAGCCATTCTAGTTATCAGCCAGCAATTAAAAATTCTGAGAACCACAGCAATAGTCAGCCGTCAACGCATAGCGGACATTCCTCTACCGTGCAACCAGATAACAAGCCAAAGACAGATCATCATAATTTATGTTCTAGCAGTACTAGTGGGCACAGTTCAAAAAGTCACGACAGTCACAAAAGTAGAGAAAGTCTAAGTATAGCACATCCTTCTGTTCCTGCGCAAGTTGAACAGATACCAACTGTACAGTATACAAAAACTCATCAGAATAATGTATACAACTCCAGGCAAAAAATAATTACTGTTCAAGGCCAGCAGTATTTAGTTTTGAGCGTCATAGGCCAAGGTATGAGCGGAGAAGTTGTGAGAGCTCAAGATTTATCAAACTTAGACTTGAGAGCAATTAAATGTGTCAACCTCAACAAAATGGATAGAGAATCAGTTCAAGGTTGTTTACAAGAAATCTGTATGCTTGACAAATTGAAAGCACCTTGTATTGTACACATGTACAACTTGTAGGTTTCTTCTTTAACTATAAAATGATGTATTTTCTCAACAGATGAATTAATTCAGTGTTTTCGAAATTTTCAGTGAAGTAAAACAGCCATGGGTTTATGTTGTGATGGAAATAGGTGAGATAGATTTGAGTCGTCTATTAAAATCTATGTTGGCAGAAAAGAAAAAAATACCGCTATCCATGATTCTTTATTATTGGACCGAAATGTTAACCGCGGTAAAGCACATTCATGATAATGGTAATCTTTATTTTATTACAATAATTTTTTACTTACAACAAACTCGGTGTTACATTCAGTTAAAAATATTGAAAGTGAAATTTAAATTTAATCTTAGGGGTCATTCACTCGGATCTGAAACCTGCGAATTTTTTGTTGGTGAGAGGAAGATTGAAATTGATCGATTTTGGTATAGCATCAAGCATGAATCCTGATATGACATCTGTATTGAAAAATTGTTCAATTGGAACACTAAATTTTGTGAGTCCAGAAGCTTTAATGGACGTGAATGCTGGTGGAAGCGACTCTCCAAATCAGAATGTTAAATATAAGGTAAATGAGAAACAAGAAGGAATCCCGGAAGAAATTGAAGATTATTTTTAAAAAACCATGATTTTACAGATAAGTTACAGGTCGGATGTGTGGTCACTGGGCTGCATTTTATATTCTTTAGTTTATGGTGTCACGCCTTTCAACCACATCCGTCAGCAGTGGGGCAAAATAAGAGCAATCACTGATCCAAAACACAAAATAAATTTTCCTACAACTAGCGGGAACGAACCCGTACCGTTGATTATCATAGATGTACTGCGCAAGTGCCTTCAGCGCGAGCCCAAGGCAAGGCCTACAGTAGCTGATCTCTTGGAGATCCCTTATTTGCAAGGCGACATAAGTCGACCAATAGTTCCTTCTGTACCGTCAACTATTTTGTTGAAAATAAAACAAGCTTTATCTGATGATGAATGGAAAGAATTCTCCGAGGTTAGTATAAATAGCAACAAAAAAATTTTCATTACTTTTTTATAGTAAAAAATAAAACCGAACAAATCTTTGTTTTAGGCGTTTTCTAAAATGTAGACGAAATGGATTGATGAAAAAAAAAAAAAAAAATTCAAACAAATCGAACAGTTAAAAGTGTACAAATAGTGTAGTTTTGTTAAATAATGTAACGGTTAGATTTATACTAAGGTGAGTTCGAAATGATCGCACCTATTTTTTTACAATAAAAGCTTCGTAAACTTTTGCCTTATATATTTTTATAGCTAGGATTATAAAACTCTCGCGAGGTGAAAGGTATGCTAATGACACCATGATTATTTTAGATTAAAATATTGTATCACTTTATTTTCGTATGTATAGATGATTACTATAATAAAATTAGTGTTTATCGCTAACTTTACAAGTTAGCACACTTTTTTAATCAAATAACAAGTTTTGTCATTGTAGAGTTATATCGAAGTTTGTTATCTTATGTTGCTTTCTCATGCGTTAGAAAAGCTTTTAATTATAATTAGGTATTCCATGAATCGCTTGACAAGGTCATGTGTCAAAGATTTTGAAGTTATAAATAAGGGTACTTCATCTTACAAAACGAAATTTGAAACAGTGCTCAAGTACAATGTTTTTTAATCGTTCAAAAATTAAACTACATCATAAAGACTGGTTTGTATTTTGCACAGTTTTAATTTTCAAAGTTTTTTTAGCTTTTTAAACATTTATTTCAAACCGAACTTTTGAAATATTGCGTAAAATTGGGTACAACTATTTTTTGTAAAATCTAACAAAAACTCACAATAATCTGTGAGCTAACTTGTCATGTACTCAATATTTTGACAGCCTAGTTTGATTTTGTGGGTGATTATTGCATCAGTACAAAATTTAAATTGAACAAAGATTCAATCAAGTGAATTAAAAAAAACTAATAGTACAGATTTATACGAAATTGAAAATTTAATGAAATGATTTTTTTTTATACTGTAAGTACTGTACATTTATTGCCGATCATTGCAAAAAAAATAAATTTACTTATAAAAATCATGTCTTGTTCTAACATACACTTTTTAACAGAGACCTTACTTCTAATTAAGCTAGTCAATCTATTTAATGCTTAATCGAACCTACAGTTATTAAAGAAAAATAAATTTCATACCATTATCTATATAAATATAACAAAACTTACACAATATACATATTCGATAAAGAAGCTGGCTTTGATTTTTAAGGGATGCACAATATAACAATACACAAAGAACATAACAGATTGATTTGCCTTAAGGAAATAATATTGGTGATTTCATCAATCCTTAATGACTTACACGTTACACTATTTAATTGATGCTTAAATGTAACATTTATAGTCTAACATAATTCAAATACCATTGTATTTATAAATGGCAAGTTTGAAAACTTTTTTTATCGGTTGCCATCAGGTTAAATAGTTCGGGATATTTTGTTTAGCAATATTTTTTGGGAGATTAAAAATAAAAAAGAAATTAATTTAATTTCCTAATACACTAGTCGCTAAAAAAAAATACGAAGTGCAGATTCTATTTGATGGTAAATAATCAAATATCCATAAACAACTGCAATCAGTGTAGGAAAGTTGAATTTTTTTTTTTAATTTTAATCTCTCGCGGCATACAAAAATATTGCGTAGTGAAAAAATTTCATGATAGCATTTGTTACCTTTTGAAAAAAGACAGACACGATGAAAGACGAAATTCCATTGTGTGTACATAAACGAGTTTTTGTTCTTTAAACAAAATAAAAAGGAATCGCATTTTATGTGCTACTAATGCATTGTGGTAAGCTGCCAATACTGTAATAGTCGTTCTCCTTTAGGCAGTGCCATTGAATTGGGCCGTTCAAACGTCACCATAATATCCTTAATTTTATTTTTAAGCTCTCGGTCAAAGATGTGGCTTCCAGTTTGTTCGAGAGCTGTAGCCATGTCATACTCTACACTGGGCAAGGGTTCGCGGATGAAGCGTGCAGCCGTGGCCACGCTAGGTAACATATGGCACTGGAGAGATTTTACTTCCCAAAGGCTACTTTGCATGGCATTACTTTGTAGAGGATCGCGCTCTTCCATAAGGTAAGGGTCGTTGGGTGCTGCACTAATTTCATAAGGTGATATATTCTTGCTACCACTACTGCCAAGTGGTTTATCAATTAATCGCTTTAGACCTGGATGGCGCATCAGTAGATTACCAATAAATAGTAGAATTATGCGAATATCTTCGGGTGGTGCGACTAACGTTAATCGCGATAGTCGTTTTGCAAATGCAGCAACTAGAGCTTCTGGCAGATGCCTGTTAAATGAAATAAGTCAACATAATATGGTTATTAATAAAAATTCGTGATATTTTGAATTGTAGAATACTTAGAAACTATAAAACTTACGTGGAACTTAAGAATATGTCTGATAAATAAAACAATCGCGCTTTGTACTTTGTATGAAAAATTTCTGGTTCAAACATCGAATACAGTTTGGTAAAAATATTTGGATAATCCAAGTTGTGCTTTGTGACTAATATAAACACTCCTTGTAGCGCCAATAAACCGATCGGACCATTTGCGTCTAGAGAATCCATCAGGAAATCTGTCATTAATATGGGTTTATCTAATTGAGACATAACTCGCTCCAAGAGAACAATTAGTAGTTGCTTGTGCAATTGTTGTGTCACTTCCCAGTGCATAATGCACGACCACACTTTGTTTAAGGCTTTTTTTGCAGCAGCATAATCACATTTGAATTCCCCTGAACCTTAATGAATAATTTAAACATGAGTATTTACGTACACGATTAACTGCAAAATATAAGTAATAGAAAAAATCCAAGAACCTTGCGGTCCACAAAGTAAATCTTGATTACTGTCGCTACTTTCTTGGGGCAGAGGCAACTTGTGTATGAAATCTAATAAATTCTTAATGTATACATTGTGTGGTTGTCTCTTTGGAGTGAGCGAAGGAAGGCTCTTCCATGTGTAATGCAGAGCATCTACATAACTAGAAATTTCTTGAAATCTTGTTATAAGAGAAACGTTATCTCTATCTGGTGACAAAATTTTCATAATAATTGATTTTAATCTACTCAGAGGAAAATAATATTCAATATTGTTTACAGGCTCCAATGGAGATTTTCCTTCTGCTGCCATTAATTTAATAGCAGTTGATAAGGCTTGTGTTTGTACAGTTGGCCTCGAGTCCTCCATGGAGTTGAGCAACTTGTCCCAAACTTCTTCATAACAATTTCTTAACCAGTTGACGTATCTAATTTCTGGTGTTGGTTCTAAAGAAAAATATACTTTAATGATGTAATTGTACAATTGCTGTGACTGTGTTACCAAACTATTATGTCAAAATACATAAACGAAACAATGAAGACTGCAGCAAGAAATATAAGTACTTAATGATTAGAACACAACATTGAAAGGTATGAAAAAACACGCTATCCTGCACAGAGGAAGAGCTTTGAGCATGGATCACTGAACTATTCCCGGAATCCTACCTGAAATGGTTAGGGAGATGGTGCGTTCCTGGTACAAATCACCACGGCGAAGCAATTCCTCGAAAATGACTTCAATTGTCATGATACATGGATTCGGATGGCTCTGCAACACAATAATATAAACAATTGAGCATCAACGATAAAAAGGTAACCTCAAAAAAGCAAACGCACTCGAAAGAAATTTGAGGCCCTTTGCTTTGTAAAGTAACGTTGGGCTGACCTGCCACATATTGAGAATGTCCAGCAGATTATTTGCATGTTTGCGAGAGCCCAGGATCTCCTGGGCCCGCTGTCTGAGTAACTTCGACGTTGACATCTTTCAGTTCTACTTGACGTTCCGCTGCCTCGCGGCTTAGCCTCGGAAAAGATTAGAGTCTGCTCTGCTCTGTACTTATATACCTATATATAATATTGATTGAGATTTGAGAAAACACTACTTGCGCTGTCTAGCGGAGATTTTCATGAAAATTGAAAAATGTGAAAATGTGAAAACGAAAAATAAAAATGAAAATCATGAAAACGAAAACAAAAAAACGATTTTATTATACCATGTAAGTGGAATATCTATACTTTTGGAGGTTGATTTTAAAATGAAAGATAAATGGTAAACTTGCCGCAAATAGCACAAAAATATCAACTTTTTATTGTCTATCAAGACAATCAGTTGCGGCTGGTTTATAATCAATAAAGCGGCTCTGCTGTAAGATAGTAATAGTTATTTGGATCAGCGCCATCTAGCGGTCGTGATTTTTTGGCCAAAAGTGGCTCCTAAAATTCTCAATCAGAGCAATCAGGATTAGAGCCATTTAGCCAATTATAAACCAGCCGCAACTTATGATGAAGCTATAAAATAAAAAAATAACGATATATGTGTTTTTGGCGGCAAATTAACTATTTATTTTCTACCAAAAGATTGACCTTCTATGTATTTATACTTTTGAAAATGAATTTTCGAATAAATATAAATTGTTAACTTGCCGCCAAAAACACATATATCGTTATTTTTTTATTTTATACCTTCATCATAAGTTGCGGCTGGTTTATAATTGACTAAATGGCTCTAATCCTGATTGCTCTGATTGAGAATTTTGGGAGCCACTTTTGGCCAAAAAATAGAGACCACTAGATGGCGCTAATCCAAATAATTTTTGCTGATTACAATAAAGTCACTTTATTGATTATAAACCAGCCGCAAATAATCTTATAAATAGCTTATAAATAGTTGACGTATTTTGTGCTATCTGCGGCAAGTTTACAATTTATCTTTAAACCAAAAATCGACATGTAAATTTGTTAATAAAACATAGAGCTTTATTTTTTTTACATTTAACAAATAATTAATGACGATTATACAAGCAGCTCTTAAATCTTATTGTAAGTCTGCAGAAGCTGATCCTACCAATCCTACCTTGATTCATTTTTTAATTGAAATGACCTTGTGTGTACACTGTTAAATGATTTTAAATATTGAAAGTTAACAAGTTGTTTTATATAATAAATTCATTTTGATTAATCCTCAAAAATGTTGTAATGGTTTATGTTTGATTTAAAAAACTTTCAGTGTTATGTTACAGTGCAATGTATCACACATTCATGTTGTGAGGTTTTAATATTACAATAACAAAGTTTGATAACACACAAGTTAAAAGTCTCAACTTACATCACAAATAGAAGAATATTAGAGAAATTTGTGAACTAATAAGATTTACCAACGAGAAAAGTGAAACATAAATCTTGATAAAACGTTTGAGTAAAGCAATTGTTCAAGTTTCATAACTTTTAATTATAACAGTTGATACCGTAAATATGCATTTGCTCTTTTAAAATTTGGTTTTTCCTTGTTTCAATAAAAATTTGTGTTACAGAAATCTTGAATTACGATCAAATATATACGTAAATTAATCAGTCGAAAAGAGACAACTGAAGAAAAAAGGCCTAAAAAAGAAGCACAGTCACAGGAAGAGTCTCTTAAGAAAGGAGCATTGGATCTTACTAAATGAAAAATACATTCATTACAGATAAGTAAATTTAAAGTCTTATAAACAAACAAAGAACCCAACATTCTCTGATTATGTGATATCCAATGCTCCATTCTTAGGAGACTCTTCGTGTCACTAAACATCTTTATTAAGCCTTTTTTCTTCAGTCGTCTCTTAGACTGATAAAATCACGTATGTGCTTGATCGTTATTCAAAATTTCAGTGACACAATACATATCATATACTTGAGTTAACTGTTGATTTTAACTGTAAAGTCAAAGGGCTGCACTGCCTGTGCTTCCATGAGTCAATGGTAAAAGGTCTAAAGTATTGAGTTTGTAAATATGGTTGATTTTACAAGCCATATAAGATAAGTAGAATATTTTTACTTTCACAGGTCAATTTTTGGATGAGAGATAAATTGTAAACTTGCCGCAAACAGCATAAAATACGTCAACTTTTTATTGTCTATCTATGAAATCAGTTGAGGCTGGTTTATAATTAACAAAGTGGCTCTACCTTAAGTAGCAATAGTTATTTGGATCAGCGCCATCTAGCGGTCTTTATTTTTTGGCCAAAAGTGGCCTCTAAAATTCTGAAACCGAGCTTTAGCGCGTAGAGCCATTTAATCAATTATAAACCAGCCGCAACTTATGATGAAGGTATAAAATAAAAAAATAACGATATATGTGTTTTTGGCGGCAAGTTAACAATTTATATTTATTCGAAAATTCATTTTCAAAAGTATAAATACATAGAAGGTCAATCTTTTGGTAGAAAATAAATAGTTAATTTGCCGCCAAAAACACATATATCGTTATTTTTTTATTTTATAGCTTCATCATAAGTTGCGGCTGGTTTATAATTGGCTAAATGGCTCTAATCCTGATTGCTCTGATTGAGAATTTTAGGAGCCACTTTTGGCCAAAAAATCACGACCGCTAGATGGCGCTGATCCAAATAACTATTACTATCTTACAGCAGAGCCGCTTTATTGATTATAAACCAGCCGCAACTGATTGTCTTGATAGACAATAAAAAGTTGATATTTTTGTGCTATTTGCGGCAAGTTTACCATTTATCTTTCATTTTAAAATCAACCTCCAAAAGTATAGATATTCCACTTACATGGTATAATAAAATCGTTTTTTTGTTTTCGTTTTCATGATTTTCATTTTTATTTTTCGTTTTCACATTTTCACATTTTTCAATTTTCATGAAAATCTCCGCTAGACAGCGCAAGTAGTGTTTTCTCAAATTTTAAAATCAACCTTCAAAAGTATAGATATTCTACTTATATGGTTGAATAAAAGCTACTATATGGCACTTAGTAGTGATTACTACAATTACTACTCATATCTTACACTGTGCTCTCTTTACCAGAATGATAAAATATAAAATCAGAGGCTGTATGCCGCAAACGATAGCGTCAAGTCAACCTGTACTAGGTAACTGTCGGTGACAGTGTTGGGCTCGGTGCCCTCGGTGGGTGTTCCGCATGTCAAAAAAACTCGAAATGTCGGGTGGCATGGGAGTGAAAACGGCAAAAAGTATCGAAGTTTGGTGACATGCGGATGCGGAGATTGCGGAGCATCGGAACCCACCGACTACCAACTGCTACCGACAGATGAGTTAGAGTACAGGTTGACGCTAGCGCCGCCCGACCATGCGGCGTTACCACTGAATACCACAACCTGCGTAACTTGATAGCTGCATGGCAGCAATAATAGGCAGCATTTGCGGAATACAGCCAGCTATATATAGGCATATAGCGTATGTATACTCCAAAAAAAACGCAAACAACACGCCGTGCAGAAAATAACCATAATTTTTGTTTCTTTGTTTATTGTGATATTTGTGATAACTTTAGACATGAAATGTTAATTTCTCCCTCGATCAAAAAAAATAAATAGAATAGAGTAAACCACAGCGATCAAGAGTATAAGAGATACTCGCAAAACAATGGCGAGCATCAGTCATTGTGCTTTTTCTCACGACACTCAGTACCTGGCCTTTTGCAGTACAGATGGTAAATTAAAGATTTGGGAGACCTCGACAAACCGCCTGAAGCAGGAATTCGTACCTAATCTCCACCTGTCCTCGCCCTGTAGTGTCTTGGAATGGATCACCGTTGGAACTCAATCAACCACAGCGGTAGGGCCATGTGTTGATCACTTTTTATTTTCAATTTGTACCTGAGATACGGTAAGGATTCCTGTTTTAAAGAGATTAGCGGTGAAGTCTTGGGTGGGTTTCATCTCCAGGGCATCGGTCGCGTGGCTTAAGATCAAATGATGTCGAATTCACAAACCCGGCTTCACGTGTTAGTTTCGAGGTTAAAATTTTTATACCTAAATGTCAATCAAGTACCGAGGTTATCTCTTTTCGAGTAAGTATTTAGACTTGAGTCGTTCAAGATCAGAAATGTGATCATTCTGACTTAACTTAGGAGTAGCTCGTTTTGTGGTAGCAATCGTGATTTGACACATTTAAAATTCTTCCTTTTTTTTTTTTTTTTTTTTTTTTTAAGGAAAGTAAAAGTACTGTTTTATAACTTACGCACAATAATGGGTTGTCAAAGACAGATTATAGAATTACAGTACAAGCCACTCAATAAACAACTACATTGATTAATTATTTTGAAGGCTTCACCATGGAAAAAACGCAGAAAGAAGTCGGTGAGCGAAGATGCAGAACACAAAGAAATCATTGCCATGGGCTCAGCAAATGGAAGCATCAGCCTGTATGATATTTCTACTTCATCAATCAGCGACAAACTTACAAACGGACACAGTTCAACAGTCACAGCACTAACATGGTCTCATAATGCTGGATTCTTTACAGCAGCAGAAGACAAACACATCATTGAATGGAACTTACAAGATAAATCAGTGAAATGTAAATGGAAATCAGGTAAATCTACAGCTCTCACTGTTTTGCCGGAAGGAAAGTCACTGCTGTCTGGAGATAAAAAAATAAAATGGTGGGACCTAGAAACCAAACAGATCCTAGGAACATTCACAGGCCATGCCAATCAAGTAACTGCTTTGAGGTGTGCAAAAGTTGGTCAAGAAACGAGTTATTTATTTAGTAGTGCTAGTGGTGATGATTATCTTAGTGTTTGGTCCCTAAATGAGGTGAGAAATAATGGTTACTATATGCACTCAACAATATTTCCCTAACAGAGTCATGTAAAAAAAAAAACATTTTTGTTTAGGTGAAAAAAGATAAAATGCCAGTAGGAACACTTATTCTACCAGATGAGGTTCTTTCCTTCTCCATAAGAGCCACAAAAGAATCACATGTCATGGTTCTGTCAGTCACGAGGTCAGGGCATGCACAAATTTTCAAATATCAACCAAATGGCACTTCTACCAAACCAAGTAAACCAACACTGAACGTCTGGGTAACTGCTGATGCTGGACAAAAAGAATCGGTTCAACAAATTCCTATTCTAATAGCAAACTTAACGGAAGATTTAAAAATGGTGTTGGCATATGGTTCATTTTTGGGTCTGACTATAGAAAAAGTTGAGCCTGACTTTTCTGATGGAGTACAATGCCTTGTTAGAACAAATCTTAAGAAAACAAAAGAAAAGAAAGAGGAAGCTGTTACAAAAGTAAAAAATTTAGATATTAACAATGACAAAGTAGAATATATTGGACCAGCAGATGTAGGATCATCGACCTTAAAAAGAACGAAATCTGGTCCTGATTCACAAATCCCATTGCAGAGTAGGTTAGATAATTTAAGTTTAAATGCAGAAGCAAGTACTCCAGACAGGACAACGTCAAAAGGTGATAACATGGCACAGTTGTTAATGCAAGGTCTGCACAGCGAAGACAAAGACATTCTGTCCAGTGTGCTGCTAAACAAGAGGGAAAGCGTTATTAAGAACACAGTAGCCAAGCTTCCTGTTCAGGCGATTGTTCCACTACTAAAAGAACTCACGACAATGCTGGAAGGAAAAACTTTCCCGTAAGTCAACATTAGCAATTCGTATTATCCAAAAATAATTAACAATTTTAAAGAATTTGACATTATTTTGTTTTCAGGAGTAAAATAGCAGTCATATGGTTAAAAGCAATAGTTACTACACATGCAGCACACATGATTTCTCAACCAAGAATTCGGGACGCCTTAGCTCCTATTCTTAGTATAATTGATGCAAAACAAATGCTTTTGGCAGATTTGTCCAAGTTAAAAGGAAGAGTTGATCTCGTGGTATCACAAATTTCGAGATCTAAAAAGCAGGACATAACTGATGAATGCTTGTTGGTTTACCAAGATCAAGGTAAAAAATGTTCTGTACCTACTTATTTTGTCATATTATATTGTCATTTAGTGTAACTTTTTTCCATGCTAAATTTTGTAGACTCATCAGAAGAGGACATCGACTTTGGAAAAGTCGAACTTGGCAGCGAATCGGATGATAATTGGGAAGAAACGTCGGATCAAGAAAGAATGCAGGAGGATGTAGAAAACGGAAAATCTGACGAAGATGCCTCGATTTACAGTTCTGATTAAAAGTTGTACGGTTTACCGTACACCTTCTCCTTGAAGACGGCATAAGTTCCATTGTGTGAAAACTGTGTAAAATACGGAAGTTGTCACCTCTTTTTTTTTTTTTTTTTTTTTTTTACTAACATTTCAACTTTCATTTTAAAAACCTTCAACTCAGCTGTGAATTGTAACACAAACAGTGTATACGAGATCACTAGCAAACGTAATTTCATTATTATCTGATTGAGGTGGTGAACAATGTATTTAAAGCGCACTATAAAATATATTGCAGTTTATTACCACAGCAGTTGATTGTTAAACGTACAAGTTTTCAGCTAGAATAATTATACGTTTGTTAAAGAAAATAAATGTCTTAATTTTTATTGGTTGTGGCATTGCATTAATTACCTTCCTTTCCCACCAAAATCTCCGGAAAAGCATAAAGAATAGTAAATAATTGAGGAATGCGAGTCAGCGATCTGTTAAGGGCGAAGGTTAGAAACAATGAAACAATTTACTTCGTCTATTCATTTTGTCCAACTTTCGCCCCCAACAAATCGCTGATTCACATTCCCTAATTATTTACAGCTATGAAAGGCGCAAAGAATTCTATACTTGATTAAGAATAGTGGCTTAAATTCAAAATTTCGATAAATAACGAACTGCTAGTGTAACAAGGCAGTTTTATATGGATCTACTGTCAATAACAGTTTTTCGGAAACGGAAACTCAATAAAAGTAAATAATGCAAAAGTGTTTAAATAATTTAATTCATATATTTAAAATTGGTCGCGTAAACTTTCAGTAAGAATCATTCAACGAATGAAGCTATCTGTTCCGTTGGATAAGATAAATTGGCACTTCTTGTTTGCACTTGATCAGTAATAAAAAAAAGTTCGTCACTTTTTCAATATAAAACATTGATTACATTTTTGAGTAATTTCACGTATCGTGACAACATTTGGCACGATAAAGTTTAAAAAAATAGACGCACCAATATTGGTAATGAAAATATGTTTGCTCAAACTTGCAAAAGATCTACTAACGTTTAATGTACCATTTTCAAAAATGAGAATCTATCCGTACATGCACATCAATCTCATAGTAGTTGGAATCAGTAGTCCATGAGTTGTGCGTTTCATCGATCGCTTACGACTGCCGTATTAAAATTTTACTAATACGATATCTATCGCATTCACTGATCCGTATGAAACAAGTTTTTATAAAGACGTTTAAATAATTTCAAACTCGTAGCTTTTAATTTTGATGATTTGTCTATGTCTTGATAATGAAGCACTTTTTTATCATTTTTTTCTTCTTTTTAATTGTAATTATATGGTTCGTATTGAACAGTTTCGAGGATTGCAAAACTCAAATCTTCGATAAGTGCTGAAAAAGACGGGTATAAATCAAACTGATAATTGAACGTGGTACACAAAAAAAGTGGATAAATTTATACTAAATATAACGGTTTCGCATTGAAGATATAAACAATGTATCAGAAATATTATTACACACTTAGTGTTGAAATAAAGTTCATTTTGATTTTTATCTACAATTTTTTTTTTCTTTCAATATAAATAAATATTTTTAATTACATTGAGAGAGANATGAAACTAAAATTTATATTACAGCAATAAATGTTTTTAAAACAACATTAACAAACAAAAAAAATCACCCTCTTCAGTCTTATGAATAATAAAGTATAATTCAATTTCATAATATTAAAGTACGAAAAAAATTTTTTTTGGTTCAATAAAAATTGGGTCGTAAGTTATGTTTTTTGTAAATCTCCAACTTTTCTTAACTGAACAATTGAAAATGTCTTGTTAATAAGCTACATGCGTATGACTGATTTTTTAACTTTTTGAACTCTACATTACTAATGTTAGTAATTTATTCCCTTCCATTAAATTTATTGAACTTGGAACCACCAAGTTTTTACATTAAAACGAAGCTTATTCAATACATACATAAGAACGCGTAAAGGCGAAAAAAAAACTGTTTTGAAAATTATTTTTACACTCAACCCAAATTTTGGTCTGATGAATTACTGGTACTTTGGATTTTTTTATAAAAGTTCAGAAATACCAGACAGACACATAATATATTTGAGAATTTACCAAATTCGATGAGGTCCTTTTGAGGAATTGAGTTAGTGTACTTGTATAACTACTACCTACGTAAAAATGGTAAAAAATGAATAAATGACCAAATGGATAGCAATCGAATCGATGTCATTGCAAAAGCCAACTCTCGTGGCAGCCAGTTGTCGGGGAGTTAATATCATAAAACAAAATAAAATAAAATCAGCGAAAGCGCGACTCGCCCAACTGGTGTGGTTACGCAAGTTTTCGAAAATCAGGCTCCCTCTCGCCCCGTGGGTCAGAGGGCATCTAAGAGCGCCGTGTACAGCGGTGTATTGAACGCGCTTATCTCCAACGAGCCGGCAATTTCGGCGAGTATAAAAAGCCCGGCCGATCGGACCGAGAGCATTCGCTTCTGCCCCAAAGTTGAGGGTAAGTGCACCGGCGAGTAACTCTTGGCGGTCTTTGGTCAGCCGCACTAGCAAATCATTAAAAAAAAAAAAAAAAAACAACAACAACAACAACAACAACAACAACAACAACAAAAAACAACCCTCGAGATCACGAAGATGATGCGTAACTGCATCGTTTTCACCCTGTTGGCCGTCTCCTTGACGGCGGCCACAGGCTACCAATACGAATACTCGTACAAGACCTACACCGCCGACGTGGATTTCCTCCACAAACAAAAGAAGGTCTTTGATCTCCTCGCCTACGTCGACCAGAACATCATCACCGACACCGAGTACTATGAGTACGGTCACACCTTCGAGCTGGCCAACCACATCGAGTACTTCACCAACCAAGTGAGTTCACCGATTGTCATTCTCATATTTATTAAATAAAAATGGAAACCAAATTGTTACTAAGTCCTATGTATATGTGTGCTTGTTCGAAAAGCTAATAAACACGCTGGTCAACTAACGATCTGTCAACTTCATTTTTTTTTCCCACTTTCGACGCTATTGCTTATCGTATTATTATAAAGAATACATATACTTTCTCTCTTTTTTACACACACAAATTCATGCTCACAAAGAGTCAGCAAACAACCTGTTTATATAAATCCTCAACCCGACGAGATAATGAAGAATAATATTAGTGCAAAATTAGGAAATCACACAAATCACCTCTATCTTATTTTTCCAATACTCGTGTTGCTGTTTTTTGGGTGATTATAACGCCCCGAATACGATTTTTTTTTTTTTTTTTTTCGGTGCCTCGAGCGTTACGTGGATTCGCGCGATGTTAGATTATAATTGACCTTTTTGTTTCATCAAGTCAGATCCGTTTCGGATTATCGCTTTTCTTTATTTATTAATTTAACGGTTATTAAAAATTTGGTGATATTTTTTTTACAATAGTACACAAACAATATACTAATTTGAATTAATTATTCATAAAAATGCTTTTAATCTCAAAACTATGCAAATACATTTATAAATGAATTAATACAGCTGATGGTATAAAATTATTAATTTCACTAATATTTAACGCTTCTACAAATCAGACGTAAAAATTATCATAATTTAGAATACTATTTGAAGCTTACTGTCCTTAAAATAAATTGATATTTATAACTTATTGAATCAAGAAAAAAAAATTGTATTTTATTTAAACGTGTAAATATTATTAATAATTAATTTTAATATTCCTTTATACAGCAATGATGATAAACCTAATGCAGAAAACAACAAAATATGCAATACTTCTGTAAATTGTAAGAGTCAATTTTGACAAATGATGCAGTTTGACATTCAAAATGTTTAAAAAAAAAAATTTTTTATTTACTTCAAGTGATAATAATTTCTACAAGTATATATATGTAATATGAGATCATCAATTGATATTCCAACAAGTAGATAGAAATAATTAAACTTTTCAGTATAAAGTAATACTACTTTCATTTTCACCATAGTAAAAAGTATAATTACAGTACGTGATTATATTACTTATTTTTTTCAAATGTATTTTGATTTTTCTTGACTGAAATTCTCACAAGTCACTATTTTTTATACATTTTACAGATGGTGAAATAAAAATTTTTTTCCAACATAAAGTTATTAAAAGGTATTTTTTCTTACACAATATTGTATCTACAAATTATGTAATTATGTAATTATTTTTATTACAACAAAAAATAAATTCTGAAAAATAGTTTACACTACGAAAAAAATTTCGTTTTGACGAAACCTACAAATATTTTTTTTTTTTTAACCACGCACAGCTCTAACATATGAAACTAAAATTTATATTACAGCAATAAATGTTTTTAAAACAACATTAACAAACAAAAAAAATCACCCTCTTCAGTCTTATGAATAATAAAGTATAATTCAATTTCATAATATTAAAGTACGAAAAAAATTTTTTTTGGTTCAATAAAAATTGGGTCGTAAGTTATGTTTTTTGTAAATCTCCAACTTTTCTTAACTGAACAATTGAAAATGTCTTGTTAATAAGCTACATGCGTATGACTGATTTTTTAACTTTTTGAACTCTACATTACTAATGTTAGTAATTTATTCCCTTCCATTAAATTTATTGAACTTGGAACCACCAAGTTTTTACATTAAAACGAAGCTTATTCAATACATACATAAGAACGCGTAAAGGCGAAAAAAAAACTGTTTTGAAAATTATTTTTACACTCAACCCAAATTTTGGTCTGATGAATTACTGGTACTTTGGATTTTTTTATAAAAGTTCAGAAATACCAGACAGACACATAATATATTTGAGAATTTACCAAATTCGATGAGGTCCTTTTGAGGAATTGAGTTAGTGTACTTGTATAACTACTACCTACGTAAAAATGGTAAAAAATGAATAAATGACCAAATGGATAGCAATCGAATCGATGTCATTGCAAAAGCCAACTCTCGTGGCAGCCAGTTGTCGGGGAGTTAATATCATAAAACAAAATAAAATAAAATCAG